AGGCTGAGCAGCAGTGCCAGCAGTCTTCCTGTCCAGTTGAAAAAGTTTTCCATGAAGATGTTTTACACTGGAAATAGACAAAACAAAGCAGGAGACGTGCTAGTCTGGCTGGGAAGTGATAAGGAAGGTGGCTGTGGCTGTGGCTGTGAGGTTATAAGAAACAGGCACTCCAGGGAAAGAGGAACCAAGAGGGGAAACATGGGCACAATCCTGGAAAACACGCGCCAGCGGCATCTCAGCTCACAGCTGTCGGACTTCCTTCTAACGCCCGCGTGGAGGAGTCACCTGATGGCATTTGGAGTGAAAGGACTGAAGGCAAGCACATTTGAAGGAAATCAACGGCTAGAGGGGGCCGCATAGCAGGTTAATTCTGTCAGTAAAACAATCGTAAACACAGTCTTGTGGTGAATGTAGAAGAGAAACAGGAAAGACAAACGCATGAAGATTCTGTGTTTTCCGAATCGCAGCGTCAGAACAACAGCACAAGCCACCGTTGCAGCTGAGCCTTTCCTCCTGTGAGCCCAGCAGCCTTGATGGGGCAGCCCTGATTTTTTTTTTTAACTGTCATTTTAAGCTTTCGTTTACTAAACTAACAGCATTTCATTAAGCAAGACTGATTCCTGAGAGCATTACCTTCGGCCATTAGCTCCCAGACAGTCATTAATTCCTGTGACATGTCCTGGGATGAGATCATTATTATCATTACTACTTTTATTAATTAAGTTCATTTTCAGAAAAAAAAATAGCTATGTAGTTTTTTAACATTGGATTTTTTTTTCCCAAATGTGGTTTTTAGTATCTTTGTGATAGCCATGCACTGTGTGGTCCCCAAGGTTAATCCCTCTACCTGATGCTCACAGCTCAATAAAAATCAGAAACAGATTTTTAGCAGCAGGATCAGAGAGAGTCTCAGTTTCTCTGTAACTTCTTTCTGGGGACTTCCGAAATCCCCTTTAGGTCACGTGGCTGCAGGGTGCTCTCCGGGGGCAGGATTTCACAAAGGCTCTGAATTTGGCACATCTTGTGTACAGGAATTGTTGCTGCTGATGAATTTGGTGGTTGTTTAGTCACAGGTCTATAGAAGGAAAACCCCGGCTTGACTCTAATGGAAAGAGCAGATGTCACGGAACCAGCGGCAAACACCGACAAGAGGGCTCTAGCGGGCAGAGTCCGCTGCATGTGGCAACAGAGAGGGGATGTCATTGAAACAACTATGAGAACGATAAATGGCTGTGGAAAGTAGATGAAATATGGTGTTTACACATTCCAGGCTACTCAATAAAAATAGGAACTGATATTACAGAGATCCATGGTCCATAAATGAGGCACACAAACGGTCTAGGGAGCTAGTGAAAAACTGTTCTGACATGTTTGGATGCCAAAGATTTTTAAAGTTGATCTCTTTTGGCCTGGTAAGAATTTATGCATTTTTGTCGTTCCAGTCCAGAGGTCTAAGGATTAGTGGCTGTTACTGTCAGCCTGGAACTCATGTGAAAAGCAAGGACTCAAGTGACAGCAAACAAGTGAAGGTATCACAAAACCGGACTTCAAGAAAGAAGATAAAAATTCATTATTATTGTAATCTCGGTTAATGTTAAATTGGAAGTTGATAGATTTACATCAGAACTTTCTGTTGATGCATCCTAAACGTGCTATTTTCATGTTAGAATCGTTTCGCTAATGCTATCTGACTTTCAGAAGGCTGGACCAGGTAGGGTCTAATTACTCAGAAAAATAGGACTTGAATTATTCTCAACTTGTCTACTCTTTACTAAATAATACTAAATGATTAGGAGCTAACTGAGTGCTAATCTTCTGTGAATAAATCACATGATCTTGAAAAAAATCTCTAACTGATAAAGAAGAAAAACCTTCATGAGAGTGATTCAGACACATCTGCTGGAGAACAGGAGGCAAACTGGTGGTTGCTAAATACGCAGGTTTGGTTAGAGTTCTACCTGGTGGCCCCGCCATGGAAAGGCCTGTTGGTGCTGGGCCTCGTTGTCATGGAGATGCCTCTGTGACTTTCCTGCATTTCTGCTTCAGGTCACACAGCAAGTCAATAGTAGTGATAAACCTTTCAGTACGGTGATCAATACCTGGGCTGACGTCATCCAGCCTTCTGGTATAATTTACAGTAGAGGACAGTTTGGCAAGCTCTATTTTATCACCTTCAATTCACCAACTGAAATATTTCATTCGGTTGTGACTGGCGTTCTTCTTAGTGTTTTGATACATAGGAAATTGAGACAAACCTGAAGAGGAAAAGCACCAGTGGCCATTTTTTCCTTTGAGCAATGATGTCTAATTATCATCGTCTACGGGGCCACAAACCTGAGTTGTGTGTTATTTGGTCATCTGGATGGATAAAACTTTAGCTTCCAAACACACATCACAAAACTAACATAATTTGTATTTTTAAATTTTTTTTTTTCCCAGAATTGAGTGATTATCAAATAAAGCACCATAATACTCTGTAGACATCAGTACTAAGAATGGTGTCCTGTAGCATGCCATCTCCATGGAATATCTATAATTTAGATTGTTCTTGTCCCTGTCTATGTGTTGTACACTGCAGGCCTGAAGGTCAAACAGTCACAAAGGAAGTGAGCTCCTGGAGAGGTGATTCCCGGGTAGCAGGTTGCTCAGTGAGGCATGGAGGGGTCCCGCTGGTACACACAGGGGAAAGGGGCTGCTCTTACCACTCATCTCCCTCTCTTAATTGAAGCTCAAGGATGAAGGAGAATCAGAGTTCTATGAGTACCGCAATAACCAAGTGTGCGGTGAAGAACGGGGGAGTGTTTGTGTTCAGCCATCTGTAGAGAACCTGTCAGGCCTCATTTCCCTTTAGCCAATTCCAGGTTATGCTTATTTACACGGTCTTTTACTGGCTAAGCTGAAGACTGCAACATTGCAATCACTGTGCCAGGTACCCTTATTTTGAGGTAAGCAGGAGTAATCTATACTTCAGGAAAGAAAATAGGTTTAGAGGAGTTCCTTGTGTCACCCACAATGAGTCAAGGCTTGGTTGATTTGCCCGAGAGCCTGTAATTTGTGTTTAAGAAAAGATTTATTTGTATCTGAAAGAGTTACTGACAGAGAGGTAAGAGAGGCAGAGAGGCAGAAATCTTCCATCTGCTGGTTCAGTTCCCAAATGGCCACAGTGACTGGGACAAAGCCAGGAGCCGGGGACTCCAAGTATTCCGACTGGGTTCAGGACCCCAAGCCTTTGCGCATCCGCTGCTTTTCCAGCGGCATTAGCAGTGAGCTGAGTAGAAGTAGAGCAGCCTGGACTCAAACCGGCACTCATGCGGGATACTGTTGTCGCAGGCAGTGGTTCGGTCTTCCACACAGCTCTAATACATCTCTGATATTTTACAGGTTTATAAAATCTATCGTTCAATTAATTCACTAAGTATGTGATTTTGTTTGTCTCTTATGTTCACTTCCTTGGCATAAGACAGACTTTATTTATACTACTCCATGACCTCAAAGTTTGGCTGATACACAAAGGTGCTTGATAAATATTTGTTGAATTAAAGAAAATAATATATGGGACTGGTACAATGCCATAGCATGCTAATTCTCTGCCTGTACCGCTGGCATCCCACACAGATGCCAGTTCATGTTCTGGCTGCTTCACTTCCAATTCAGCTCTCTCCTTATGTCCCGAGAAAGCAGTGGAAGATGACTCGAGCCCTTGGGCCCTTGCACCCATGTAGGAGGCCTAGAGCAAAGTTCCTGGTTCAGGCTTGTCTGTTGCAGCCATTGGGGGAGTATCCGGTAGATGGAGGCTCGCTCTCTTGCCCCTTCTTTCTGGAAGTCTGCCTTTTAAATACATAAATACATCTTTGAAAAAAGAAAAACAATATCTTACATAATGCCAACTTATTTCCTGAACTTAACTGGTGGACTAACGACACGAGATGTCAGCACTCAAGACGTTTCACACATTTTCATAGGTTTCATATCCCTTCGTCCTGTTGAAGGATGGAATCTGCAATATAGGTACAGGAATACAACTATAATTAATGCCTACAGCAGTGACAAAGGGGGAAGAATTCTGTGGCATGTAAGAATTCAGAGCATCACACAAAACTCAGCCAAATCTTTGGTTTTTTCTCTCTTTTCCCACAAAGTCCCTCGACCCCAACCCCATGTCAGTGTTCACCAAACACTAGAGCTACATGGGCAAGACCTGTCCCAGAGGTGGTTTACAGTGACTGAATGAAGATAAGAGAATGCTGTTTCATTTCAGCAATTATTTGAGATTTTAAAAAGTACCAGATATTAGGAATTTCAATATGATTGGTTCTTATCCCTATGGGGCATCAAGTCTGACTGAACTTCAGGTGGAAACACATCTCTTGGCTTAGAGGAAGTCTGACTAGGTGCAGGACTTAAGTTCTCAGGAAAGAATAAGCCCCCTACCTCCATCCTCTGCATTTGGTAGACATTGGTTTAAACTTGGGTCATTTTTCAGATCACATTTCTTCGAAGTACTACACTATTCTTATTCATACTGAGTGAGTATTGCCTTTGCATTTCTTTATCATGACAAACACATACGCTATATGGAGATGACCTGAAGGCCGTTATTCTGGCAGCTGGGGGCTCCAGAAGGATGGGCAGCTATGCAGATGAAAAGGATAGTTTTGAGGTGGCAAGAACGCCCACCTCTAAGTTCTCCAACTTCTAGCTGAGGACATATCTGTGCCCACCATGGGGCTGCAGATTCTTGCCTGTGTCTTCTGGTCCAGGACACACGTGACTGGAGGACAGTGGCATGCCATCGGAGCCGGCTGCCATAGGGGTTGAAAGATTGCCAGAAAACTGCAGGTTATTTGAGACCTCAGTGCAAACCACCCTTACAAAGACAGTGCCTTCAAGATTCTCAAGACAAGGAGACACTTGATGGAGCCAGGAGCAATCTGTCACGATATAAATGACATAGGTAATGAAGCATGACTAGCGATAACCAATTCTCCACAAACGAGATGTTACATTATTTTATTTTAATTGTATGATTTTTCAGAACAACAACTATTGACACACAAAGTACCATTCAGTTCAACTGCAGGTATAGGCAGTGACAAGTATCTAATTCTCAGAAGAGTCACTTATTCCCATGATCTGTCCAAACACATTAACCTAAGGACAAGTTCATAAATAGCAAACCTGATTTTCACATTGCAGCCTTTTCAAGCATGCATATACAGAGTGCAGTCCTGCTGGCAGGGTAGTTGCTGCAACTTCTTTCAAGTTACTGATGCATTCATTCTTTCGACTGCGTCAGATGCTTCTTCCGGCAGAAGAGGTTCTTCTGTTTTAACATCCAGCGTTTACTATGGCCCGCGGATGAGTCTTGCTCTTCGTGTTTATGAAACAGCACATCAGAACTGAAGCGTCTCTGTAGGGTGACTCCTTGTGTCTTCCCACCATCGTCCAAGAGCTTTTGGTTGCAACAATTTTTCTGCCACAGCAGCCAGACTCAATGCTCGGATTTCAGCGGAACACACCCTCTTTGTGGCTTGTGTTGAGCCTGGGCTTCCAGTCCTGGTGATGTAATAAGGGTGGGGTGCGCTGGCAATCAGCACATTTCCTTATCATTATCGACAGCCACTGAAAACCGTGCGATTATTAATTCAAGTCTGACATACCTTCTCTGAAATATTCACAGTGCAGTATTTTTTTGTGGCCTAACAAAATTTTCCTCATATCATTAAAAATAAACATTCTTATAAAAATATAGTATTTTCAATGTTTACACGGACAAAACCCAGTGAAGAGGAATCTACACCACAGGCACAATACAGTAGTAAGCACAAAATTCCAGAGAACAAAATGCCAAAATAGTTTTGTCCAGAGCAAAAATTCATCCCGGTGAAAAACAGCTAGACTTGCCAACTGTCTCTTGTTGTTGTTGTTTGCTTGTTTCTAAAGTAGGTGTGGCTTGACACAAGGCCTGCCCTATTGCAGTTTTGTTTGTAATTTGGGAGGTGGGAGGCTGTTATCTGAGAAGAGTCAGGAGTTTCCAGGTCACCCATCTTGGCATTGCTGGGAATCAGTGTACCTTCGCGCGTTGGGCGTCTTTTTGCTCTAAGAATATGTGGAGTTATTCTTGAAGATAATTTGTCCCTGCAAATTTATTTTGAGTCTTTATTTAAGAAAATACAAAACCCCTAAATGTCCACATTTATTAGATCAGAACACAATCTTTCTCAAACTGTCAATTTTTAAATGACAACTAAATATTTCACTCTGATTACGCTGTGACAGGAAGGTCTTCTTCATGTCATCTATGTACAATACGTCAATGTCCCCAAGTCATGCGAGTTTGAAACTTTGCTGACAGTTTCAAAGCGCTTTCCTCCAGACAGTCCACCAAACAAAGGAATGTGTGTACAAAAGTTTAAATGGGAATGTTACATCAATAAAGAGAAATGTTAATGACCACACAGCACACAGTTCCTTGGAAATGCTGGAATTCCAAACGAGAGGCAGGCTCCGGGGCTCCCACGCATGTCGTGAACATTACCATTTGTTCTGAATTTCCTGTGACTCAGAAGTCCTCAACATGCGTTAGCCTCAGTTTCCCCACAGGAAATCAAGCGGGCCTAGGGTTTTTGAAGCTTTGGATTCACACCTCAAGGTCGCACTTGAGAGAACAGAAGTGTGATGCTGGTGGCAGGGTTGCTGCTGATCACTGGCCTGAAGGACCAAGCCCCTCATTCGGATGCACTACCGGCTGAGAAATTCCTAATGGCCCAGACACTCAAGTAAGAATACAAAGTTCTCTCACCACGCATTTTGGACAAAAAGCAAAAAGCGGAAACTAAACAACATTGGATGACCTTTCAGAGGCCAGGCAGTGAGAACTGGTGAACATGTGACCATCGCTTGGATACTGCTGGGATGCAGCCACCTGCCTGTCATGTGTCCACTCCGTGGTCCATGTTTTCCTGTGATGACAGCAGTGAAGGATAGGGGGCGACACATTTCACATTCACGTATGTCGCATTCACGTGGACGTAGTGCTCCCCGATGAAGGTAGAGAAGATGGCAGAAATCCTGGAGACCAATTCCGAAAAGGATGGGCGCATTTCGGCCTTTGGGTGCCAGCATTTGAGCATCACTTCATACCTGTTTTGGAATGAGATGTCATGAGAGAAAACAGGGAGGTAAGCATGTCTGGAAAGTCAAGAGTGTAGGAGAGAGCAGGTGCCGTCAGGATGCCTACTTACAAGGTGTCGGGGCAGTACTCGGGTTGTAAGAGCCTCCTGCCTTGCAGCAGGTACACAGTTATGTCAAACGTGTTCACGTCAGGATAAGGGGGCGCGCCTCTTGTCATCAGCTCCCACAGGAGCACGCCGAAGGACCACTGGTCAAATGAGAAAGATCAGGATCCAGATGAGAGAAGTGTGACCACTCAATTCCAATCAAGACAGTTGCATTAATGTATTCAGCTCTATTGCTGTTTGGGGCAAATGATTTTTGAAGAGCGATTTTTAAACTGGGGCTTTCATGGATAATTAAACCAGTTAAGACTTAGTTTATACATAGGTGCAGTTTTCCAGGATTAGTTGAGTGTATAGGACGATTAGGATTTCCTTGAGTTAATGCAAGTCTCCAAGTTTTCTCTTAAATGATCAAAGCCCCAGCACACTCTGTCCTTTTCTCTTCCCATAGCTTCACAATAATCTTCGAGTGTTAGTGTAAGAAGATAAAGGGAGCCGTCCAGAATTTAAACATGTGAGATTGCAAACCAATGTAAATACTCTTTAAGAAATGCAATCCTATCTAAACCTTAAGGCTGAAAGATGTAAATCAGTTTGTGTAAAAACCATAAATAATAAAACTGCTAGGCAACAAGGCCCCCCACTGAAAACTACTTTCAGTGAAACTACAGTTTGGAAATGCTGAAGTCTTAGATGAATATAAAACAGCTGCATCAGCACTCCACAGCAGGGCCACGAAGACACGGAGAGGTTACGTGACTTGCTAGATGTTCCTCAGTATACAGTATACAATGTGAATTCACATTGGGACACTCATCGAAGAGTTCTTGCCCCTTGCAAGAACATCACTCAGATGCGCAATTTCTTGTTGTAAAGTATTCTACTCAGAAGAATGGGACAAAAACATTATCTCCCCTAGGATATGTGCCAAGGTGACAATGGCACGGAGAGCAAGCCAGCATGAGCTGATGCCTCCTGAGCAGAGGAAACAGGAAGTCAGGCTCTGCTTGGCAACACTACCAGGCAACTTAGAACCTAACTAGCATGTGGGGGAAGAAATGAAACCCTGGAGAAAAAAAAGAGAAAGAGAGAGAGAGAAAAGGAAGGAAGGAAGGAAGGAAGGAAGAAAGGAAGGAAAGAAAAGCTTGGTAGGGAAGGAGAATCCAGACTCGACAGCTGAAACAGGAAATTATAAAATTGAGAAGCAAGGGTGGCTTGTAATGCTATGCAAGGACGATAAACTAAGAAACTAGGTAGGAACCTGCGTGGCTTATACAAATTTCTGTTAATGACTCTTTCTGTCTGAATCAGCATGAAAGCCCTTTAAGGCCGCCAAGTGTCTTGATTTAATCAAATGCCACCAACCCTCTCCAGGGGATTGCTAGATAACTCTTATTTAATTCAGCCTTCAAAAGCTGCTGTAGCCTGAAAGCCTTGTGATTCACTTATCATTGTATAAACCTTCCAGGTGCAGAGTTTACATTAAATTCTAAACCCATCCCATGAGTATCTATTGACCTCTGATCACATTTGAGTAGGGCACTGCCCAAGTTACTGGACAGACCCCAGGGTGCCTTGAACCGGTTTAAGAGCATTGTGCAGATAGCTGTCACACGGAGCACGAAGATGCTGACACAGAGCAGTCATATAAGCGAGGTGCAAACGTGAAAAGCCCAAGAGATAACCCTAACCCTAACAGTGAGGTACTGAGAAAAGCTTCAGGAAGAATGACAGAGAGATGGGTCTTGGGACTCATATGGATTGTTAGTAGAAATATACAATGATACAGACTTAGGGAAAGAGTTGGCAAGTTTCTGATGAAGTTGAACACACACACACACACACACACATTACGACCTTCCAGTAGCCTTACTCCTTGGCTTTTAGCAAAAAGCAAGTAAAAATGGTTTTCACACACAAACTTTTTAGCAAACATCACACATTTACAATTATGTATAATTCACTGCCTAAAATAACAAAGATGCCAAATGTCCCTGAGGCAGTGAGTGGATAAACAAAATGAGATCTAATTGTACAGTGGAGTATTACTCAGAAATAGAAAGGAATGAGTTTCTGGCAAACAGTATTTAGGGTCCTCAAAATATTAAACTTACAATCACTCCATGGCTCAGAATTGCTACTTGCAAACACGATCTTAGAGGACTCATCATACCCACATTCATTTCAGCACTACTCCAGTAGTGCTGATGAAAAAGGACACACAGCTCCTGGGATGTGGGAAGCCTTTCCTGTCCTGACTGTGGTGGCAGTGATTATGGCAACGTGCCTTGTCAAAATTTGAAGGCAGGTGCACTAAAAAGAGAGTAGGTACATTGTGCAATGGGGGTGCCTTCAGAAATCTCAAACAGAGAAACGCTGCTTTGGCAGGAGAGAACGGGACTCTGAACACGGCAAGTGAGGCTGTTGCTGACACCCAGGCAGAGGGGCACAGCTGTTTGATGCTACAATGCTTGCCGTTGTGGAGGGAGGCTTACATCAGAGACAAAAATCATGAGTTCCAGGGAGGAGTTGAAAGAAGCCAAGAACAGCACACCTAGGATTAAAAAAAACAAAACAAAACAAACAAACAAACGAGAAGCATGAGACAGAGTCCCAGAAGCCAAAGGAAGAGAACTTTCCAAGAAGGAAGGCGTGGGGGACGAGTGAAGTGCTTTAGAAGACTGAGGCAGGACAGCGGCTGAGAAAGCTGGCTGGATTGGACCTTCTGAGAAGTCAATGCAGACCACCGAAAGAACTGGAACTCAGTGTGATGTACAGCTTTGAGTAACTTCCAGTGCCGCGACACTCTGTTTTATCTGACTTGACTGTAGCTGAACTTCATCCAGCATTGGCTGGAATGAGAATTATCTATAAGCAGGCAAGTTTTGGCTTGTGGATGTTCAACATCCATACAGCTTACAACATGCTTTTGGAAACATGCCATGTAAACTGCCAAAAGACTGGGATGTTCTGAAAGTCGATTGTTGTGCAGTTTTACCCATGCCCAAGCAGCACTGTGTACAGCTTGCTCAGGTTCAGCCGTTGAGTCTTATGAGTACAGTTTGTTTCAACAACATACGGAGAGAAATAGCACTGTCACACACACAGAAGTTTACAGAACTTTCCAGTCAAGTATCTGAGTGACTGCTGCTATGTGAGAAGTGCTGGCCTTGCTGGTGTGTGTGTGTTGTGTGTGTGTGTGTGTGTGTGTGTGTGTGTGTGTGCACACGCGCACATGTGTGAGATGCTGCCCAAAGTTCAGAATCCACATCTTATCTTGAACATCCAAAATTTCATCAGGCACTCTCTTATTTACTTATTTATTATTTAGCTTTCCTGATGGATAACTTCCAGATCATAATATTTGCCAATTGTAATTGTGAAGTTTGGTATGTTTAGCAAAGTTAGGTAATTGTGCAGCTCCACCACAATCACTTTAACAACTTCAGAAAGTGCAGTCATAACTGCAGTCAACCCTCACCCCCAGAGAGTTTGACTTACTGCCCAAAATTTCATATAACCAAAAGCACTCAACATATAATTTTTTGAGTCTGTTTTCTTTCCCCTAACAATATTTTTGATGCATGTTGTAGCACACATCAGTTATTCTTTCATCTTGATGAATGGCAGTATCCTACTTTATCCATGTATCACATTTTATTTGTTCATTCACCAGTTGATGGGCATTAGGACTGCCCCCAGGTTTTGGTTATAAAGAATAACCCTATGGTTATCACTCATGTACACACATCTTAATATAGGTTCATGTTTTCATCTTATGTGCTTATCAGCAAGCTATTCATATGTCTCTTTAGTAAAATGACTACTCAAATATTTTGCCTATTAAAAAAATTAGATTATCTTGAGAACTGGAGCATGCTCTCAACAGCAGACTAACATTCAAGCTTGTACAAAGAGTATATTTTTAAAGGCTGGGTTAGTTCTCCTTCCCTTATACTTTCACCTGCAGCTTCCCTTAGGGCCTCACTTTGTTCCTCTCTTCCAGAACCTTGCAGGATCCCAACCCCAGATATTAGGCTTTCCCGTGTGCTATCAGTTTCTCTTGTTAATCTTAGGTACCTGGAAGTCATATTTCTCCACTACGAACCGTAACGCACTTATTTGTTCGAAAAAATAAGTTTCCAATCACCTCGAATGATCCTCTAGTGTTTCCTTCACCTCCTCAAAGTAACTGAAACTCGACTTTCACTTGAGGACCACAATTTGTATAAAACTCTTAATGGACAGAACCACGCCACTTCCCTTTGCTCACAGGGGAGAGCATAGTGACGTCTGGCTTTGCAGTACAGCATTTGCGTCTCTGTTCTGTTATCTCGCAATAGCTTCCAATCTCTTTGCAAATCCATGAACTCCACAAACACTAGGTTTCTTGCAATGAAAGAATCTCAACTGAATTTGAACTGTGGTAATGCAACAAGGTGGAGGAATCCACCATGGGGGGAGGGTGGTTTGGGGAAGGATAGGGGGAATCCCAGTGCCTATAAGACTGTGTCACATAATGCAATGTAATCAAGAAAAAAAAATTAGGCTGCCAAACAAATAAAGCTGGGTGTGAAAAAGAGGAGGAAAGTCAGGAATGATGAATACATTACCACATCAGATTTGGTTGTAAACTTCTGAGTCTGCAGACTTTCTAAAGCCATCCACTTCACGGGCAGCTTCGCACCAGTTTTGTTGTGTACACTATAGTATTCTTTATCATACATGTCTCTGGCAAGACCAAAATCAGCAACCTTGACAGTGAATTTTTCATCCAACCTACAGAATGCACACACACAAACAAATTATTCCTGATGGCTGAAAGAGAATGACTTACAGCGAGGCTGAACATCCATAGGTTTGAGCAAGAGCTTCAGGTATCTGACACCCATAACTCCTAAAGGAAGTGCCTCATCTGACCTCCACTGACCTAACACTAAATTACAACGGAACTCTTCAATAAAAATGCTTGACATTTCCATTATGAATTCAACAGGCTGAGAACTCCTGAATGTTAAGCATAACAAACCCCATTATGTTTTAATTGAGAGCTAGAGAAGCAGTAAACTTGGCTCTTCTCCCACTCTTTCTTGGTTGGTGTACAGAATCTATCAACTGAGTACTCACAGCAATCACTAATCTTCATCTGCCAACCTATTAGTAATATTCAGTTACATGAGCTACATGCCAGAGTACTTTTAAAAAAATTCTCAGAAAGGCTATGTTAGTACATCAAATTTGTATAGTTTATCAGTGAGGTAACAGAAAATAGGATCTATAGTGAGGGATCTAAGAAATCAGCAAAGTTTAGTAAAAAAAAAAATCAATCTCTGCTATCTGGAGCAGTGCATCCTTTGTTCAGGCTGCCTTTTATGTTGTTACATAGACCAAAACCAAGGTAGGAAATTAATAGCACAGCTCTTTCATTCACACATACCGTAAGTCATGAATCAGGGCTGTGCAGGGGAAAAAGCACTGAATCAATTACGAACTGTTGACTGTTGTGTTACCCAGCCAGGCAGCCAGACACAAATAAAGTTCTTTGTATATTCATTCCCAAACACCATTTTTGGTAGGGCTTCTGAAGGCTGGCTTCAAATCCACCCTCGGGAAGTTACACTGTATTGGTCCTTGTGTTACCAGTCCTTTCCTTTCCACTGTAAAACGCTGAAGATCAAATTCTCCCTGGCAAGCAGCAATGCAGCGTGAAACCACAACACCGGGGGCTATTGGTGGGGAAGGGCTCGGGGTAGCAAAACATACAACAGCTGTGTAAGACCCCCTATGGTGAGACCCTTTTAAATCATTTGTGGGATACAGCATGAAAGCCCCACCCACTTCCCCATGGCTTACACATCCACTTAAAACTTTAATGGAAATAACGGAATTTTGCATAAGTGGAGAAAACAGCTGCTCTAGCATTAAACAGCAGGGAACAGACTCCTCCTAGTCACTTAACTAGATACTAGGGGCGGATACTCCACTACTTACATACAGTTTCTTGCAGCCAAATCTCTGTGGACAAACTTTTTGCTTGCAAGATATTTCATGCCTTTGGCTACTTGAAGACCAAAACCAATAAGATCTTTTACAGTCGGGTTCTGCAATCAAAGAGAGTTGGAGAAGCATAAGCTATACGCCTACTGCCCTACGTGGACCTCAGATTCCAATGTGTTTATAAGAATTATAGTACTTCCTCAAATAACAATTTGTACCCTGTTGATAGCAATAGCCATTTTAAGTATGTATTGTATGCAAACTTTTTATATAAGATTTCTGATCTTTAGACACTTTTGTAATGCACATGTCACAGGCTCTGCTTTTTCAGAAGAGAAAGTGGAGATGTTATAAAAGTCTGATTTTATGAGCCTGGCATGGTAACCTAGTGGCTAAATCCTTGCTTTGCATGCACGGGATCCCATACTGGTGAACTGGCTGCTCCACTTTCCATCTCACTCCTTGCTTGTGGCCTGGGAAAGCAGTTGAGGATGGCCCAAAGCCTTGGGACCCTGCCCCATGTGGGAGACCTGGAAGAATCTCCTGGTTCCTCATTGTGGCCACTTGGGGAGTGGACCAGCAGGTGGAGGATCTTTGTCTCTCCTCTCTGTAAATCTGCCTTTCCAATAAAAAGAAATAAAATCTTTAAAAGAAAGTTAGATTTTATTATTCTTAGGATATGGTGAGGATAATCAATCAGGAGACAAGTGCCAGTGAATTACAGTTTCTAAGCTGGTTGGGAACCTAACCTTATGCAGACCACAGTTGTGAGCAAGGGGAAAAATAGGTTTCCACGGAGCAGCTAATTAGGATCATTTCCATAGGGTCTTGTGTGGACAGGCTGTCCCCTAGTTGTGCCTGGTCCTTAGGCTGGTTAGGGTAGTGGATATTAACTGTAGTGGGAAAGCCCCCAGCAAGGAAGTGGTAGGGATGTGGGTTCTGGATTGGTTTGTTTGCTTAGGAAGGGCAAGCTGTTTACTATGTCTCAAGGAATGAGCCAGTCTTAGGACAGGCTGTCCCTCCAGCATCAGGGAGGACTCAGGTATCAAAGCACTAGAAACAGTAAGGAGAGACCCAGATGGTCAGTGGTGGAGCCAGGGTTTTAACCTAAGTCTGCTGGCTCCAAAGGCTACTTGGTTGTGAAATCAATCCCATCAGAAGCCCTCCCACAGCCATTGAAGCACCTGCTGACTCCTGTGGAGGTCCTGCACTGCAGAGAACAGGAGATCCTTGTTCTCCACAAATGCCCTCCTGGAAACTGGACAGACCCAAAATGCCTATAGCAACAGAACTGTATCTGAAATTATACAGGTGCCCTGCTGTGGCTGACGACCTACACCACAGCCTGAGTCTGAGAATGGGGCATCTCCAGCAGCCACTATGTTAGTCAGTAGAGAACCATCCAGAAGAGGTGCAGTGCCCACCCGCACAGTGGGCAGATGGCATATGCAGCCCTGCTGACTCATCAGGACCCAGGCAAGAGGAAAAGTGGGATCTCTATCAGGGCAGCTTTGTAAGGTATGGTCACCTTATTCTACACAGCTTCCCCACCAGGGAGTGTTCCAATCTTTTACAATTTCATCTTTTTTTTTTTTTTTTGTGCCAGAGCTTCTTATCTCTGAGAATTTGACACCATGTTTATAAAGCTGTTTTTTATCATGAGTAAAGCGATTCCATGGACTCACACAGAAACTGGGCTCTGGAGCCAAGGAGGTGCAGGCATCTGTGGGCTCCATTCACCCTCCAGGGCCCTGGCCAATGCTGGCCCGCCCTTCAAGTCCTGGCCCTACTGTCGGGAAGAAAACTCTCACTTTTGAGAGTAAGAACCTTTTTGGAAACCAACAGCTCATTCATTCAACAAATGTTTACCAAGAATTTATGTGCTGAACACTATTTAAGGGCCTAGAGCCACAGCACTGAACAAACCACACACAAGATTTTGACTCTTCTGATGGGATGTGTATATACACATATGAGTTTATGGAAAATAGATAAAAGATAGCTTTGTTAGGGTACAAAGAATTTTTTAAAGGTTTATTTTACTTATTTGAAAGGCAGAGTTCGAGAGAGGGGAAAGACAGGGAGAGAAAGAGAGCTCTTGCATCTCCTGGTTCGCTCCTCAAATGTCTGGCTGAAGCCAGGATCCAGGGGCTTCATCCCAGTCTCCCACATGGGTACAGGGGCCCAGTTATTTGGGCCATCCTCCACTGCTTTTCCAGGTGCACTAGGAGAGCTGGATTGGAAATACAGCTGCCAGAATGCAGTTTGGTGCCAATATAGGAATGCCAGCATTGCAGGTGGAGACCTTGCTGTGCCAAAATCCTGGCCCTGCAAAAATATATACTAAAAGCCATGCACTGCTTTTATCATATACATTCTCCATGAGCTTTTGGAAGGTCCCATATATGCAGGGCTTTCAATTTCTTGTCTTGCTCCAAAATAGATTTATTTTTAAATTTCATTTTCGTGATTTTTCTGAAGTCCCTTTGTATATATTAATCCACAGGTAATTATTTCATAATTTATTTTTTTGGAATAGTGCCAGCTTTTTACACATGCATCTCTGGTTACCAGTGTTTTATTTTTTAGAAGATTTATTTTTACTTGAAAGGCTGATTTACAGAGAAATGGAGAGACAGAAAGATCTACCATCGGCTGGTTCACTCCCCAAATGGCCACAACAGTTGCAGCTGAGCCCAGCTGAAGTCAGGATCCAGGAGCCACTTTTGGGTCTCCCATGCAGGTGCAGTGTCCCAAGCCCTTAGACCATCTCCGTTGCTTTCCCAGACCACAACCAGGGAGCTTGATGGGGAGTAGAGCAACTGGGACACAAACCAGCACCCATATGGGATGCTGGTGCTTCAAATAGAGGATTAGCCTGTTGAGCCATAGTGCTGGCCCAGCAGTGTTTTAAAAGAATTAAACCAGGCACGTTCTGAAAGGCTGGCTGGGTGACGGTTGTAGAGCTATTAAGTCTGGTAGTATACTTACATGTGTCTCATTTCGAATGAAATTCCTGAGATCTCCATGTTTCATGTACGGTAGTACCACCAGTGGAGAGCCTTCACTGCGAAGGCAGATTCCCAAGAGGGAGAGGACATTCGCATGGCTGAAGTCTTTCATGATGATTCCCTCGGTGAGGAACTGGGAAACTTCTCCTATGTCAGTAATTCCTGAAAGATCCGGCCGAGGAGATATGAATTCCATGAAAGACTGATGGACTCGTCTTTAATGTATACAGTCAGGGCAAGGAATGTACAAACTTGGGGTTACATCTTATCCTGAGGTCTAAACTCCAGAGTGCCTTTGTTTTTTTTAACTACACACTGGAGTGAATGATGTTATAGGAACCCCATGAAAACTGAAGGCTGGCAAGAGAAAAACACAATCTCTTTACATAACCATAGCTTTGTGTGACACAGAAGTTTTCAGAGATGGATACCCAAAGATTCAGGGGAAAGCCATCTGCTTTTACGCCTAGTCTTGTAAGAGAATGGACAGCGGTGTAGAAATGAGTTGGACCAAAGGCATAACCTAATGACAACAGCCTAAGCGGGGGAAGCCAGGAAGGCCTGTTAGCATTCCTTTCAGCCTGTAGCATTCTTTCCTGCTGAGTGTGGGGCAGGACTCTCCTGGATGCAGTGCTTCTGATCAGGTAAGTCTGAGAGCTTCTTGGTGGCCAACTCTCACATAGAAAGGTTACGGAAAATTGCTGGGTTTCATGGCTGTCTCTAGAGGATGGGGGGGCGGGGTCAAGAGGAATTCTAGTTTCTTGGTCCATTTTTGGGGAGAAAGGAAGGCAGCAGAAAGAAGGATGGGGGAAAACATTAAGAAGAGACTTTGTGTCTAAGGCTCTTCTAACCTCCTTTAGTTCAAGGTTCCCCATCATGCCAAAATGCCAGAATTCTGAGCCCGAACAATTCCATCCTGTCCTGTGTCAGCACCGACCCCGCACTTTTCTAAGACAGCATTCAGCCATCAGCTTGTGACATCCAGAAAAACAGAACTGTCCATAGAGAAAAGGGCAGGGAAGCCCACCAGTCCATTTCTATTGTGCCTGCTGAGGACACAGGCTGGCACACGTTATGGTAAAGGGACAGATGGTAAACAGGCAGTCTCTGTTGCAAGCACTCAACTACGCTACTGAGACATGAAAGAAACCACATACAGAGAGTGGCTGGGTTCACAATGATCGCATTTATGAAAACAGGTGGTGGGGCATGGATTACTGCTACCTGAACTAGGAAAACTTGAAAAACAATCACCATATGGCATCTAAGTACCTATTTTTGGTACAGGAGTTCCTAATCATTTAGAATATACTGAGTGCCTGATACAAATTAGCATTCCTGAAGAGTTAGTAGTTTCCATTTTTCTTATTTTGACTGGTGTCTCTTTGGGGTTAGTGATAGTGTTGATATCACTGCTAGATAATTCAACACATTCTGAGATCTGGAAAAGCCACTGGAAGTTATGATATACTGGAACACATACCAAGGACGAAGATACATTCCTTGCCGTTATGACTGTTCCGAGTACAACTGGCAGGAATGTTGTCTTAGGAGGTAACCATCAGAGGCTTGTATTAAAGTATCACACGGGCTGTCTCTTTAATTGCCTCGTGGTCAGACTTCCAACCACTTTAACCATACAGAGTGCTGCTCAGCATGGAGATTTATGTAAGAAAAAGCTGAAATAGTTGTGGCAATAATAATCTGTCTTGTAGGAAAAATGTCCATTTGTGCATTTAAAGCTTATTAATTTCAATGTAAATTCGTAGTAGAACCAGCTAACATTTTGCAGGCAACTGCAAATTATAAACAGTGAATTAAAAATGAGAGTAGAAAAAAGCAAGCATGTGAGAACTGCCCACAAAGGCACAGCCAGGCATACTCCAGCATGTGGTGCACGTTGGTTTGTGCAACACATTAATTTATGGTCATAATTATGACTCTGAGTCCTCCATAAAGACTGAGTTTATGTTTGGAAGCATTCTGTGTTTCTTTAACATTTCATCTTAGAAAGATTTTCCCAATAACAGCCAAAATTTTTAAGAAACGTTCCAGCACTAGAAGAAGGCAAGTTTCATGTATTTAGGAGGCTCATTTATGTGAAGCCATCTCACTCCCCAAATATGCGGATAAATGAGGTATTATCACACTTACGATTTTCCAATTTTCTGCCAGCATATTTTTCTCTTGTTTGTCTTATTTCATTTTTTATCTTTTTAATGGGATTTGTGGTTAAAAATAATTATTGCAATGTCTCTGGGTAAAATGAGTCATTACTACCGTATGTGCCAACATGCCTCCAATATTTTCCATAGATGTCATTTGCAAAACAGATATTAGAAGCATAACACAATTAAATGATATTTGATTCATCCATAACCTCGTTTTGCCAACACCCTTACTTATGAGGACTTTAAAGGGAGATTTCAGGGGAAGTACTCAAGTAAGAGTTTAGGGCAAATTTTCTAGGTTGGACCCATAATTTTAGCAGTAGCTGACTTTTCCACACAACAATGAGCTATTTATTGGTTTGCAAATTGCAAACATTTATTCCACTGTTCTATGTAAAGTGTAGCTTACTATTCAAAGATTTCACAGCACAATGAATCTTCTTGCCATCGTTGTCCAACAAAGTCCCATGATAGACACAACCAAAATGCCCTAGGAGAAGGAGGGAATTTGGTTAGTGCTTCATTAACATTTAACTATGAACAGGCATTCATTCAGATCTTCATGACCTTCATTTCCTTTTCTTTTCATGCGGGAAAACAAACACACTGTTTTGTATGCTTCCAAGCAATAATACCGCTATATTTGTGTACATTAAAAAAAAATAAAAACAGTTGGAAAGGCAGAAGGGGTGAGAGAGACCTCCCTCCAAATGCCAACAACAGTTGGGGCTTACCCAGCACCATGGGTTCAGTCTGGGCCTCCGACATGGCTGGCGGGAGCCTAACTATTTGAGCATCAACTGACACTTCCTAGGGTACAGACCGAAAAGAAGCTGGAATTGAAAATGGGGCTGAGACTGGAACCCAAACACCTGCCATCAAGTGTGGGTATCCCAGAAGCTTTCTTAACAGCGGCATAAAAAGCTCACCCCGAGTTTGTGTCTATGTAGTTATGCAGTACATCTCAGCTGAAGAAAGAAGCAACGTGATTATTTAACATATGGCAAAGCCTATAGGTGATATGACTGCTATTAAAGGCTTATCTAATAAAATTTGCAGGCCTTCTGGGACTACTGAAAATAGTGGTAACATCTGCCTTGTAAGTAAAATTTATTATTTTTAAGGATTAAACATTTTTGAAGCACAGTAATAATAAAATTTCACTCATAAGAAATCAAATCAGCTACCTATATTCCAGTAAACCAAACTGAAATAAAAATGTTGCCATGAGAAATAAATTAGTATTACATCTAGAATAAGGATTTCCCCATTAGTCACTGGCTACTACGTAAGCCAGGTTGGCAGAAACTGAAACATAGTTGTCCAGATGAAGAAAATTCACTGACTCATTTCATGCAATTCTTTCTGGCTTTAACCACATCATCTTCCCAATGGCAGCCGTTCATCCAGTGGCAGTAATTTTCCCCAGAGGTGCCAGCATTTGATGGTTGTGTAAGTCATTCATCAGTTAGTTAATGCAGCCAGCCAAGTGCCTACTATGTGAGTATCAGGCATTAGGGTACCTTTTTATGATGCACAGGTGAATAAAATAAAACCTGTGCTATTGAGTGCATACAGTCCACTGGAGAAAAACACACACATAGAAGATATTTAGTATTTACAGAGTTTTTAATGAGTGCTACTTTAAAAGGTAATTGCCATTTTCGTTTTTTAAATATCTAATATTACAAGACTAGACCATATCTAGTGAGGCCATACACTCTAAAAGGGGTCCAATGACTGGATTTTATGGGTTGCTAAGAGAAAGACATATGGCTCTCACATGAGTCCTGGAAGCAGGTTTGTGATGGTGAAGCTGCTTCCAGGGAAAGAGGTGCACGTTCAGGATTAAACCTCCCTGGTGTGTGAAGGAGCACTGTGCAGGTGCCCCCACGGCAAATCGAGAAGGCCTTGTGTTCATGTCAGGCCTGCATGTCATTAGCTTCTCCCGCATCGTGATGGCATAGACCTGCACAACCTCTTGTGGCATACGTAGAATAAAAGGGGCCAGAGGCCATTCAGTATTAAGGGTAAAAGCTTTACAGGGGAAAAGGTGGGAGTGGGGGAAATAGAGTTTATTTCCTGACTTCTAATTGGCTTCTTTTCCTGGTAAATACTTCCTCTATTGTGGCTTATTCCAGTTGGTACTGCTGCTCTTGCTAGCTTACTATAAAATACTCGTTCTTTGTATAAAGAAACTGGAGTGCGATGGAGATGATATTTGTTGCTTCAGATCAGGGGAATGCTATAAACTCCCTGTCTTCTGACGCTATCCAGCAGGGTACAAAGTGCTATAAACCAAGACTTGGTGGACTTTGTCACTGCGCTCATGGTAAAGACCGGAGGGAGCTATGAGTGAAAGTATTTGAGCTGAAAGGAATGATTTTAAAAGGGGAGTAAACTGCAGCTTCCAAGAAATTGTAGTTGCCAGCAGGACAGAAAGATGAGAAAGGAATGTGATTTATTTAAAATAGGTTGGGGTGATAACCCGATTGCCTTCAGGCACAGGAGCAAATCCCCACGGATCTGATTTGCCTGGCTACATTTTGGCAGGACAGAAATCAAGCATGCTATTATCAGTGCTGTCAGTGGCTCTCACCATTGTCTAAGTTCCTAATCTGCAAAGGCAGGAGATAAAATGCTTACTGGAAAACCGTAACAAGAAATACGAGTGGAAATACTTACCTCTTCCTATGACTTCATTGAAATGCACAATCAGGCTACTCGGTCCGATCACTACGTGCTGGACGGCCTGGACCAGCTCTGGATTTAGAGCACTGAGGTCAATGTGGACAGTATTTTGCAGTAACGGACTGGATAGATCAGAGTCTCCACTAGTCAGGATGGGAGACAGGTCTGCCAGAGGATACTGCACTTGTCTGCACGATCCATTCTGAGACGAGTTAGGAAACTGGTCTGCAAGATAAAGTGAAACCATTAGGAAACAGTGAAAACTGACTTAAGACTGAGAGAGAGGTTTCAAGTTGGGTTAATAAAGAAGTCTGAACTCTACAATTAAAGATAGGGTGCTCATACCATCGCATGTGGCTAGGAGGAGCCTTTATCAAGTAACTGCTTTGATAACAATGATAATAAATTGGGAAAAGATACTGGCTTACATATACAAGCATCTTATAGAGTACTTACATTGAACATAAACTTCAAAAGGTTAATTACCTCTTCATTTCCTTACATTTTTATGGATAGTAAAAAAACTATGCCTAAAGTTTATGTTTGAACACATGACTAGTGTATTCTAAAGACTGAGATGTAGCAAGGACAGCTAAGCCACTGAGAAGTCTCAAAAAAGGTCCAGCTCAAGTGTAACAAAATAAAAAGAAAAAAACATTTAGAGAGACTTGGGTTTATTGGTGGAATTAATTAGCATGACACAAGCTTACACTGATTCCTGGCCAAGTTAAAACTTACGTAGTGAACCATGTGACATAGAGACATACACACACAAAGATGAGTGCATATCTCTCTGTGTATATATGGCTACAATTACGTAGTGATAAATGTGCAAACAGAAAGCTTTCCACGCAGTGGTAAATTCTCCACTGTATGGAGAACAGCCCTGGTTCTAGTAGTGGGTGTTATGATTAGCTTAAAAGTCTCAGGTAAGCTTCTGTTTTGTAAGAAGCCTTTTCCACCCCAGGAGTGAGGAACTGTGTTAATGCTTAATTGCTACATAGGGCGAAGGAGCCACCAGTTGCTTTGCCCTTTTCACTGGGACCCCATGTAGATCCTGACTGTAGCACCTGAGCTTAAGAAAAATGAGGCAGGGCAATGAAATGTATCAGTACAAAACATGGGAAGAAGTTTATATGGGAAGGAGGCCCTACTGGCACCAAAAATAGCTTTTCTGCAAAGGAATAAGGGAATCAGAACTTGAGAAATGTGGTCAGGTGTACCTTAACTATTCCAAACCCCACTGGAACATTTCTAGTGTCTTCCACATAGACAGCTTAATAATAAATGAGCCGGGCTAGAGCACTTCAGTTTGAACAGTAGTTTCAGGAAAGCTGGGGAGTCATCTATAGGCGGGGTAGTAGCTGGCTGGAAGTAACTCAGGTGTGGCCTTCAAGGAAGGGTGTTGGGAGGATCAGGGAAAGGAGGAGCCCAGATGGGTTCCTTCAATCCCAAGGAGTCAGGTTCTCCAAACCATTCCCAGGATACTGGAAATGCAAATGACTCTCTCTAAACTATTCATTTCCCAAACGTTTACACCCTGGAGATGAATTTTCTAACTTCTCAGGAGTGTAGGGACTGAGGGCACTCCTTGGTGACCACGGGAAGAAGTCCTTGGCAAGGTGTTCTACTAACCCTTTAGCTCAGTAAAAATATGTGCAGAAACCGGTCTAATCTATGAATGCCTGACTTTGGTGTACACCACACAGAACTTTAGGCCTCCGTGAAAAAGACTGTCAAGGTGTTCCCGACTGTAACAGAGGACAGCTCTTCAGTTGCCTCTTTCTCAGGGTCTACTGCGCATCTACTTCCTCATGATTCCTTTTCCTATTTCATCTTCCCACATCTCCAAGGAAGAGACAGGAGGAGAAAATTCAGCTTTCTTAGCAAGGACGCCAGAGATTTGGTGAATAAGGAGTCTAAATAGGCAAGGATTTTTTTAAAAAAGGCATTTAATTTTGAGGATTTCAGATTAAAGCTATTTCGTGTCAACAGAGAGTAACTGGATCTAAATGTCAAACTATAACATGGGTTTGGCTTACCCAGACAGCTAAAGGACTGGGCTTTAAAGGCAAATGGAATCACATAGACAAAGTCAGGGTTTACTAGTGCTCTGTGGAAATAATATGAACTTCAAAAAATGAGAGGCAATAACTGTTGAAAAAGTTAAGATGTTGGGTGCCCCATGACTCTGGTAAAGTTTTGGATGAGCCGGTGCTAACTTTTCCAGGACTCCCAACTGCCCCGTGACTCACTGCATTTGTTTAATGGTAAATATTCAACCAGGGAAATGCTTGCATTTGACTCACGTCCTGTAACTTCTAAAGATAATGGAGCTCATACAGCACAGACACTTTGCTCGCACCAGGAGATTGGAAATAAAACAATGTGAAAAGCTTTGGGTAACTGACATCATGAGGCCTAGCATTTTGCCAGGCAGATGATGCAGACCCCTCCTTTTTAAATAGAATAACTGAAGGTTTTTCTTGGGACAATTTTCAAAATGTGCTCCAATTCTGAAATATAGTAGGCAAAAAGCTGCACAATAACAATTCAATGAGAAAAGATTCCCAATGATATATCTTAAATGTTTGGGGTTTAACAGATTAAAAAAAAATATACATATATATATAGCTGAGATGCTTGAACTGATTTAAATAACTGTGTTTTCAGCTAAACTCTTGCTAGCTTGGTAAAGAGAGCCTCACACTGTCTTAGCATTATACTTAGATTACACAAGTTTCCTTTGCTCAAATAATTTTAAAATTAACTTATGGGAAGAAAGCCCAAAGACTCTAAAATGATAACACATGTGATCATTTTAAAGTAAGAACAATGTAATTTTGTGTCCAATGAAACACTTGCTTGGCAGAGACAAATACTTCAATTTTTGTAAGAGGATAAAGGCACAACCAACAATAAACAAAACATTCACAACCCACTGAGGTATACAAATGCAGGTATTTCTCGGAACACTACACTAAACTGAAATTTACCTTCCGGAAAAGTAGCTCGGTAGTCTACGGACTCATTTGAAACCATTTCAGTCGTTGGGCTTACGCTTCGGGCACTTACAAGCCTATCCAAATGAGGAGTGTGAACTCTTGCATCATAGCGAACCAATTCACTGCCTAGATCTTTAAAAGAGAGAGAAAGAATGAGCTTGTTACAGACTGGACTGTGGCGGATCCTGGCCGACTTTGAACCAGGGCTCAGAAATCACAGGTTTGATGAATTGTGTATAAGTAAGCAGACATGAGTCCATGACTGCATGAGTATTTCTATTCCCAGAATAACTTATGAAAACAGTGAGAGAACAGTACCTTTAATTCGCTTTCTCTTTTTCAGCCAGAGGAATAGCACAAGTACTAACAAAAGTATTATTGATATTGAGACAACACCAATAATCAATCCCATAAAATTCTGGTCTGGTTGGACTATTACTTTTCCAAGGACGGTTGAAGAAACTGCTTGCTGCCACTAAATAAAAGACAGAAAAAGTCAGAGTTCAGTCATGATAGATACAAAAGACACTACCCAGGCAGAATCACAATCCCTCTGGGCTCACAATACCACCTTGTTAACACTGCTCTGGTATAATTGCTTTTAGAATAACAGGAGATTCCTTGATTCTTATTCAGTATTAAATAATTAGCAGACAAAGAAGTCTGTGATCTCAAGAAACTGACTCATACAAGCGGAGACTCACAATAGGGGATCATAATGCAATAGAAGTATGAATGAATAGTAAGGAACGGAGATAATCGGACACTGAGTTTGTCCTGGAAGGTTGGGGTGGAGGAAAAGAAGACTTTGATAAAGAGTAAGTATTCATGGGCCCAGTGCAGTAGCCTAGCTGCTGAAGTCCTCACCCTGAATGTGCTGGGATCCCATATGGGTGCTGGTTCTAATTCTGCCAGCCTCATTTCCCATCTAGCTCCCTGCTTATGGCCTGGGAAAGCAGTTGAGCACGGCCCAAAGTCTTGGCACCTTGCACCCAAGTGGAATACCCAGAAGAGGCTCTGGGCTCCTGGCTTTGGATTGGCTCAGCTCCAGCTGTTGTGGCCACTTGGGGAGTGAATTAGCAGACAGAAGATCTTGCTCTCTATCTCTCCTCCCCTCTGTATATCTGACTTTCTAAATAAAAATCAATAAATCTTTGTTAAAGAGTAAATAGTAAATATTTATGGTATCACTATGAGACAATGAAGTCTCAAATTATTTTTATTTAAATTTGGATAACAGAAGAAATCTTGGATATTCTTTCTGGCTCCCATGTTTTATGATTTTTATGATTAATGATTCTTAAATAGCAATACTAATATCATGATTCAGCCTTAGATATTCTAATTTTTTTTGTAGTTTGCTGTTCTGTTGCTTTTAAAAGACTGCAGGAATGCTTCAAATTCACTCACACTTGGGTAAATAAAATGTGATGTGTATACAACAGAATGTTACTTACTTAAAGAAAGCAATGAAAATTTGATACAAGAACCATGAGCCTCGAAGATATTATGCTAAGCAGAGGAGTCAGTGATCCAAGGACAGATGTGTGTGAGTCCTTTGATATAAACTCTCTAGAAAAGACAAACTCACAGAGACACAAAGTAGAATGACCAGGCCCCGGGGCATAGACAGAATGTGGAGTTAACTGCTTAATGATTACTATTTAGGGTAATGAGACAAGTTCTTCAACTGGACACTGGTGATGGTTATAAAACACTGTAAATTTAACTATATGCCACATTAAGAACACCATTCTATTACATATTTTCACTGCAATTTAAAGAAATTAACAGTATCATAGCCTCAGATCCACTCAGCTGTGCAATTAAACTGGGCCAATTTTAAGGCATGGGAGTTAAACCACAATTAAACTGTACTTCAAAAAAAAAAAAAACAATAAAGAAAGAACTGTTGTCCTAGATTATCTGATTTACCTGTTTACACGAAAGAAGTTACTGCAAACTAGCTTTCTCCTCACTTTACTCTATGCAGTGCACACATCTTCTTTAGCTAATGGCTTCCATGCATTTGGAAGCAGTGGGAAGGAGCATACTGGCTCTGGTCTGTTGGTCTGTGAGCACATAGGCACTCCCTCCTGACAGTTTCAGCAAACACTGGCAAGAGTGTGGCAAGACGGAGAGCAGTGTGGGTGGAAAGGACCTTTGAGACCATCTGATACCCAAGGGGGGAAAAAAAAATCCCACTCATTCTAAAATAACATCTAGGAACTGAGGTTGAGTTGATGAGCTTTAATGATTTATTTTAAGCCTGCGAGTGACATAATTACACTGGCATCTTTATTTACATCCTGAGAGGAATGCAGGAATCCCACCTCTATATTTAGTTCACTGTTCAATTTCAGCAGGTCATTGGGGACTGTGCACAAGACGGCTTCAGAAAGTGAGTATATGTTCTCACAGCTCTTATTTCCAACTTTTAACACTTCACCTTTAACTGCTTCAGGGTCAATATCATTTCCCTGGAAGAGGGGGGAAAAGGCTGTTAACACTTCACAGTTTTGCAGGAATGCTAACAATTATGAAAGTATATAAATATACCACAAAAAGGCATGTGATTTCAATGTTCATTTTCATGGGAATGGAATGATGGAAGTGCCTGTCGCAGGGCACTAATTAGGAATTACACTTTTGCATCAACTTGGATTTGAAAAAAAACTGAGCAGATTCTTAGTTGGACATTCTTACCACCACCAACAATTCTTACCTATGATCCTCTTATTAATATCCTCAATGGGAATTAGGTTTCACACCCCACACACACACACACACACACACACACACACACACGTAAAGCAATTTAGAGCCTGAATTTTTGCACCACCTAAAGACACAACACTCTGGCTGGGATCTCAAAAAATACGAATACCCGGGTCCCATCTCCACAGAGCTGAAGTAATTAGCTTGTGTACATATATGCCTTTTTTTTCTGTTTAAGTTTGTGTAGTTTTTTCAATAGTTCAATACACAAATGAATTTGATTTTTTTTTAAACAACAAATTCTAAAAAGTTAATTATTTGGAAGGCAGAGAGAGAGAGAAAATATTTTATGCACTGCTTCACTCTTACTACAACAGCCAAACTGAAGCTAGGAGCGTGACACCTCACCTGGATGTCCCACGTGGATGACAGGGCTGTTGAGCCACCTGTGCCTTCCTGGGTGAGCGGTAACAGAAGGCTGAACTTTGCAGATCTCTGACTCAAAGCCAGCTACTCTGAGGCACATCACAGTTAAAGTCTAATGTCTGCCCTTTAAAAAAATTCTTGTAAGACGCTACATCACCCTTATTATGATCTTAGAACATTATTTTGAATGACAAAGTAAAAGCTATATATTTTTGGAGGATTTACTCAATTTGCTAGATTTAGTTAATGGAAGTTACTGTGACACATTTCTAAAATGTAACATTCTGTTGAAGAAGCCAGGAATCAGCCTTGGGAAGGCAATGCGAACAGAGATGGCAATTTCTCATATCAAGACTGAGTGAGAACAGTGATTTATTAAACAAGCCATTAGTTTGAGGAGACATAAATCAAAACCTATGAATATTTTCATTATGAACAAAAAGCAGCAGCAGTGTTGTTTTGTATGATCTTTCGATCCACATACTGTTTTCCCATCCAGCATTTCCAATCTCAGTAGACACGCGATACTACTCCAGGAAAAGAAGTTCCAAGAGGATCCTGCTTTCTAACATGAAACTGCGGTCCAAGAAAACATGTGAATAGGCGTACCCTGCCCCTGTGCCATTTCTAGGGGCAGGGTCGGCCACTCATGAGTCACTCTGGGGCTTCGAAGGACAATGTGTTGGTTGGGTCTGAGGAGGTGAAGGAATTCTGGAGGGAATTCAGAGACCCTCAAAGCGATGCATTAAAGGAGCAAGAGGCCTGATTTATGAGCGGGATTAAAATGTGTCTCTCTCACTTAGATAATAACCAAGATTAGGAGAAGGGATGAACACCCTGCATTTACATTTCCACCTTTCATCCCTTCAGCTTCCAGGTCTCCTTGGATGGTGCAAAAGGCTTCTCTAAGATACAACCAAGTCACTGGACCCTTTTTCATGGCTGCCTAACAAGGAACAACACATGAGGGACAATGACTTTTCTATGAAATGACTGCCAGCTTTCTACATGCAACAATTAAAATATTTGGGAGTGAGGGATGATGGAGGAGAGTGGAGGCGGGAGGGGACTGAGCACGCCTCTCTGTCTACAGGCCTGCTCCCCAAATGCTTGGAGCAGCTGGAGGCTGGGGCCAGGCTCAAGCCGGGAGCTCCGAACTTCGCGTCCAGACATATGGCAGAAACCCAAATGCTTGAGCCATCACCTGGGGTTTCCCAGGGTGTATGTTAGCAGATTCAGAGCCACAACTCAAGCGGCATTTTTTTAAAATTAAAAATTTGTTTTTATTGGAAACGCACAACAGATTTATGGAGAGAAGGAGACATAGAAAGAGCCTCCATCTGCTGGTTCACTTCCAAAATGGCTACAATGGCCTGATCTGAAGCCAGGAGCTTCTTCCAGATCTCCCACACAGGTGCAGGGTGGCCTTAGGCCATCCCTACTGTTTTCCCAGGCCACAAGCAGGGAGCTGAATAGAAACTGGAGCAGCCTGGACACAAACTAGTACCCATATGGGATCCTAGTATTTCCAAGGTAAGAATTTAGCCACTGAGCCATCACACTGCCCACCCTCAAGTGGCATCTTAAGGTTTAAATCACACATACCGAGTGTCCACGAAGTAATTTTAAAAGCCAAAAATCCCTGATATCACAAAAGTGACACTGGCCACCTATTTTTGTGTATCAGAGGAGCTCAAAGGAAAAATCACATTCCATTTGGTACAAAATCTGCTTACTATCTTAGTTTGTGCCATCACCAGAGAATATAAGGAAGCGTTTCTGCCTCTCGCTGTCATGTTCTAAAGGATTTATTTCTAAAATGAAAGCTACTGCCAAGGTGTCAGTCAGTATGTTCCTTGATCCACTTCTCCTCTCCGATTCCATCCAGGTACAACATGTTTCTAGCCAGGACTCAGGCCTGGACGTTCATGCAAAATGGCTAGGCTTTGACACTTAAAGTTTGTAACACCAGAGTGTCTTGTAAGTTTTCACATGCATAGGAGGCCACAAGGTGGGCCTGGGGTAATCATCAAGGTGTGTGCGGGCAGCACGACCCAGCCAGGCAATAGTTTACAAACCAGGAAGGTGGAGAGCAGAAAATCAGTGAAGGTGGTCAAGAAAGTAGGAGGCCCTGAGCTTAGAGGAGACCAAATGTCCTTCACACAAAGCATCACTACCGAGTTCCACGGGTGTTTTGGGAATGGCAGAGCCAAGTAAACCCAAACAGGGCTGGTTCCCTCACTGCTCCTCGGGGACTTTTACTATTTACCTGGGGAACTGCATTGTTAGGCACTACAAAATCATCAGTGTTGTCCAAGGGCCCGGGAATATATATTTATTTTCATGGAATGTCTACTAATGTGTGCAGCATGGAAATAGTTGGTTTAAAGTGAGCTAAATGCACTGTGAACGGCAAGACTTGCCTCGATGCTGGCTGCATTGTCCCTCAGAAATGTACCCTTTCATTTTACCCTGGCTTGGGTGAGAACTTCTGGCTCCTTCTGGGGTACACATGGGCAGGTCTCGTTCAATGATGCACCCTTCTAGAACTTTCTGTGCTCAGACACTAATGCCTAATTTCCATTTGTTCTGGTTCTCATGATGTCATAGCTTTAGTCCCTGCTTCCTGCTTTAGCTCACCTTCCTGCCTCCTTTTTCCTGTGTTAGCAAAGTTCTCCCAACTAGAATTTGGAAGTATATCTGTTCCGATATATTCTTAAATTCTCCATAGTAACTAAATCTTTCAGGGCAGTACCAGGCCATCCTCATTCTAGCACTAAATACTGCACATTTCTGCACTCAAAAAACTTGCTTAGGCACAACAAATCATATGATAGGATAGTGAAGAGAAAAATGGTTTTTTTTTTGTTGTTTTATTTTTTTTAAAACAGAATATACTTGTAAATGTCTGAGAAAGCTTAGAGTTACTTCATGTAAAGAATGGTACAGGAGTTCTATCTACCATATAATTTATGCAAGGTGTTTTGGTATACACAAAAGGCTTATTCATTTAAGAAACACTATAGTTCAGTGAATTTAGTAGAATCTAAAATGAAGATGTCTGCATGAACCCTACTTCTACTGTTCCCCTGGGGGAACCAAGACAAACCAGCTCATCTTTATAAACGTGCTTACTAAGCTATAAATGGGGAAGAATGCTCCCTGGTCTCCCAACCTCATAGGACCCTATGATGCTCAAAAGAGTGTTTGTTAAGTGCTGTGTTAACTATAAAATTTCCTATGAAACTGGGCTGCGGCTGACAGGAGCACAGGGACACCCAGTGCTGCTCGCCGTCCATGGTCTATAGTTGGTCCTGCTGCACTGGAAACCTTGACCACAAACTACCTCCTCCATCCACAGGATTTATGATTCATGTTGCGGAGTGACTGATCCTGGGCTTCTATTGTGTTTTCCTGACCCAAACTTGGCTGGCTCTTTGCCCATGGAGTAGTCACTGGGTTAACTGAGTTAGCAAGTCTCATAGCTGACTGGACGCTATCACAAGTTCTTTTTCAGCCAATGAATATTTGCATGCTTGGCTGGTTTAGGAGCATGACCTCTTCTTGGCAATAAAGAGCAAGTCCCACTATAACCACATGATTCTCCCAAAGCACTTTCATTGAAAAAACACACACATGCTCTGGCCTCAGCTTTTGAATGGTCACTGAGCAAGCATAACATCAAATAAAATGATCTTTTGATAAAAACACTGAAACGCTTGCCCAAGGATAGACTTTTTTAAACAAAATATTTTTTCCATGCTTCATTTTTCATTTCTACCCTAAGACAGGCAGAGATCTTAATGTGCTCAACTTAAGAACTGATCAAGGGTAAAACCAGTATCACACAATAACACTCTTGATATTCTCTACTGAAGGAAAATGGAGTATGGAAAAAGATTGACTCATGAAACCAAAGGCAATCCTTAAACTGCCCCCTCTCTATTAGATTACTCCTCTGTGACATGCCATGTGCTACATACTTGGAAAAAAAAACTAATAAAAAAGAATACAAATTATTTTTATTTTTTTAGAAAAGGAGGCATTTTTGCCTATCTCTGAAGGCCCTTGAGCCACGTTGGGAAGACCACTAACAGATGGAGGATGATGTCAGCTCATGTTTTCCTTGGTCCAACAGTTTTGTAGGACATTGAATAATGGGTATTTAATTTATAGAAAAAGAAGCTGTCTTTTCTATATTAGACTGTGCTTGGAAGGGCAGATAAGGAGTTATTTATCTCTAATCCTTCCATCATAGATATGGGAACATAAAGATGCTTTCCTTGGGTGTAAAACTATTTGAACATAAACCTTTGTTTTCACCAGGAAAAACCAAATGGAATCTTTCAAATGGCAAACAGTAATTGTTGAAAGCAAAGGTCACACTAGATTAGTTTCATTGAAAAAAAAAAGAAGTGATAAAAGCTCTTTCTCCCTTTCTAAAACTAATTAAAGAAGCAGATGAAAGAATTTCGCTGTGGTAAACACACAGTTCATTGAAGCAAGTGTCCATTTAATTCATGCTGGGCTTGCTTAATTATTGAACAAAACACAATCGTGAGGTTGGTAAACTTGTACAAGTGTGCACAGAGGTTGGGTTGTAGATAAACATTTAGATGAAACAACAGAACAGTTCATTGTAAACATATGGCTTGCAGGGAGTGAACCTTGCATACCACTACACAAGGACTGCCTCATTACTCCATGTTTGGTTATGCTGGCATTCAGATGATCTTTCTGGAGAAAAGTGACTGCCTAGGATAAATGTTTTGCTGTTTCTAGTGGCTAAGGGCTTTGGGCAGTTAAAGTCTTGATCAATTTGCCTGTTTTACTGTTATTTGAAGTAAACGTGATTGATGTGTTCCAATCTCTGGTCTGCCACGATTTCAGCGCTTATCACAGCAGTTAACCTTTCTGGGCCTTAGGGTTCTTCATGTGCAACAGGCTGGCTTAGAAAAGATGGTCTGTTATTCTCCATTAAATTATACTGAGAGGCAATGTATTCCTAACGTGGTGGGAATTCATTTCCATTTATAAATCAGCTCAGACATGACCACACCCGGATATGAAATTCTAAGTATTGCGATGATGCACATAATCATAACAGTCACAATTATCTTCCACGATCTTCCTTTTATTGTGCAATATGCACATTTAGGTAAAATGTCCAGGGGGAATGTATAACATCTGCAAGCTAATCCAACACAGGGAGCTATTTAATCTATCTGTTTCCTGCATTTGCTACTTTAAAAATAAATAGACATGCAAAGGTTTTCAAATGCTTCATTAAAAAAATGGTCCTTGATCATACTTACCTTTCTATCAGGTCAAAAATGCTTCTTTTCAGAGTTTACTGTTGATATAAGATACAACGAACGAGTGCAACTGTATTCAAATAGTTATGAAGTTAGTAAAGTCTGATGATTTAAGACAGCGTTTGAAGCATTTCTTACCTTAATTTCCAGTACATTTTCATTGCCCATTGAGATCATCACTGGCTTTTCAAATGGCTTAAACACAGGATTATGCACATAAGTGAGATCAAAGTATTTGGAAAGGATCCCATCCAACATGAAGAAGGCTTTGGTTTTCAGGGGGAGGGGCAGGTTCAGCTGTTGTAGGGAAGGAGTGGTGCAGCAGATGATCTCCGAGTTGGAGCGATGCTGACACGCCTGTGGGGAGACACAGTTACCCACCACCGTCAGACGAGAGCTTGACAACACCCAGAGACCTGCTGATTTCAACTGCATCAATCCAGTGAAAACACTCCATTTCTGACAAAAATATGCATTTACTTCCTAATGCTGAAGCACACAATTTTGGAAACAGTGGAAAGTTAAATTATCCAAACAATGCATTCTTCAAAGGAGTGTGCAGGTTCACTGGCCTAGAGCACTGACAGCGAGGTATCTGAAGCTGACTCTCACTCCATTATCATGTCTTCACCTGAGGGAGACTGCCACCTCACATCCTATGAGCAGAGTGGAGGCTGGACTTTGTGAGGGCCGAAGGCCTTGGTTCACAATTTAGCATTGACACAAGGTGTAAGAACTAACACACTGTTGTTAGAATTCCTCATTTAGCAATGAAGATTAAAGGGCTGTTCACAACGTGGGACACTACATGGAGAAGTACTTTATTAACTGCTAAACACTGCATGGTTAACATTATAATCAACTAAGTAGGTAGGTAATCAATGTGTTTTAAGCTTTTAATGATTATTCTGTTCTGTGCAAAACATCAAATCGGTTTTATTTAATTCTCATGACCAGCCTATGGGTAAGTGTTCTGATGACACAGCTACAGATGAAGAACTGGTCTTGGAGCATACATAGTTCGTGCACCCGGATCACACACCTCTGAGTGGCAGAAGAGGTAAATAAACCCCAGGCCATTATTTCCTAAAGTCACTGCTTGAACCCCCATGTCATACTGTTTGATCACTGTACATTTTATTTTGGTAAATCTTTTTCTATGCTCTGCAGTCTACAAAAGCTGTGCTATTATTATTTCATGCCCTTTTATCTCTGATTTCAAATATTCTACTTTGGGATTCTAATTTATGGAATTTTAGAAAATGTAGTTTCCTCTTGATTGTACTTAGACTAAAACCAGCAACACAAAGCGGTACATTTAAGGTTAAATGGTTATGTTTTCTCCCCAAGGAAAAGATAAACAAGCAAGAACATCCCTTAGATTTCCTTTTCTTTGACAAGTATAGTTGCACATAAAACAATTACTTATGACCACAATAGAAAAAAGAAGTCAGGATATACATAAAAAGCACAATCAGAATTTGGTATTTGATATTTTCTCTTTAAAATAATTAAAAAATATTCTTCATTTAAAAATGTATGTTGTGAGTAGATAAAGGCTTGAATATAGTATGTATGAAATGTTCTTTGGTTTTATGTCAAATTCATGTTTTGACACTAAAAGCTATTTATAACTGTCATCCTGAACACAAGTGAGCAATTTTATTGCCATCACATTAACTCTCTACATAGCAACAAGAAATCTGAAAAGTACACAGCACACTGAAGGCTTCTGGGAAAAAATCACATTAATAAGCTAACACACATTTTGCAAAAAAAAAAAAAGATAATTTTTACTTCAAGGATTTGGACTTACTAGACCTAACACTATTGTGTGCTGGATGTTATATCTAAGTAAGAGCCGACCAAGAGTATTTTATTTGTTAAATAATAATTGAATTCAATTCATCATAGTCAACTTGAAAATAAGTGGTAAGGAATATGAAAGGAATATGCAACTTTTAAAGGTAGTCTTTACAAACAAGAAAAAAAACCAGTAAATATCAAAATAGTAAATAATAAGTCAGCTGCATTTTTAAAATTTTGTCCACTTCTCATGCACAGTTCTCCCGGGCTACCATGGTATTAACTAAAGAAACAGAAGGATATACTTCCAAATATGAAAACAGATATGGAGTTCATCCCGAACCATTGTCTGAATCTTCCTTGAGATAAACCACCCTTATGTCTATTACCCAACAAGTTTTTCATAAGTATTTGATTACAAGTGAATGAATAAAGCTAAAAGGCCTCTAAAGCTCCTCTTGATACTGGTGACAGAGAAGAAATGAAACCTAGTCATTATTTTAATCAGGGAAGTTTGGTGTTACTAGATAAATTTAAAAATTTCTGAGATTTTTGCTTAAAAAAAAAATCACACGCCAACACCAAACAATTAACAACAAAAAAGAGTTATTTGGTTTCTGAAAAATTGTTATGTTTAGTTGTAGGGAACTGAGATCCTTTAAATGAATAGCAGTGGTATTCTAACTTTGTTTGTGGCCATGAGTGTGGATTGATTTCAAAGCCCTTTGCTTCGTACTGTGATTCCCTGGAGTACAGTCTCTCAGGAATATGATAAAAATCCAATAATTCTCTTTAGAGGTGATGCAATGTGGCTGATTGAGAAGGTCAAGAAAAATCTCATTTGAGATGACCTTACTGTTTGAGGAGTTGGCTTTGATTTTTCAGCCCCAATTGGTTTTTTTAATTAAAGAACTCTGTGGCTTTGGTTTTTAAGAAATATTGGATGGGAAATTTAAAAGAAAAGTGCTGTAACTCAATCTGTCAGCTGCCCAATCAAGATCCTACTTGAATGGGAGGACTTAGAACATTTGCGCTAGGCTGAGGGCGTTAGTTCAACTAGAATATGGTGTTTGATAATACAAAACAACAATAAAAAAAAAAGTATGGAATCTTTGGAAACAACTCCAACTTTCCAAAGGTCTAAACCCAAACCACCATTTTAATATGACCTGCATAATTTTGTAGAGCACAAAAGGGATCCTTGGCTCTTAAGGAGGCTTCAATTGCATTTTGGTGACCTAGCGAATAGGAGGAAAGATGGAAAAGCACCGAACTCTAGAACTTCACATAAATATTTTCAGGACTTCTTTTTGGCATGCTATTGCATTATGTGTTAACAAAGGGTTAAGAAGAAAGGTAAGAAAAGCAGCAGGTTTTAAGAATACTGTGTCATTCGCTTAGGAAGACAAGAATGTTGCAGTGGAATCAGCAGCTTGAGTTTCCTTAGCACAAAAGGGGCCGTATTCCACCTTAAATGCAAGAGACAGAGGAGAACGTCAGATTCTGCCTCATTATCTTCATTTGTGCCTAAACACTCTTCATGCCTGTGCTCTCCGGGGTCAGCCCAAGACTGCAGATCGCTTCAGTTGTTGAATAAAAATGACTGTGATCTGTGCTGGGAGAAAAGGTAACTAGCCAACATGAACAGCAAAAAGCCAAATGTCCCCTGAACCCTGGAAGCCAAGTGACAGAGGTAGAGAGGCAGAGCTGTGAGTAGAAGCAGCCCTCCCAGGACTTACCACTGTGAAGTTCATCCCTGCTTCATGCACACTTATTACCATCCTCGGGACACTAACTGAATCCAGGTTTCTTCCAACACCTGTTATTGTGCTCCCGCCACTGGCCAAACAGAGGAGAGAAACAGCAGCGTTTAGAAGTCGAGGTTGAATTTCATCACATATGGGGACTTCCAGAGGCATAGCCAAAGTCAAGTGGAAGTTCAGGGGGTAATTCTTCTCCGGAAACAACTTATTTAACTTGAAAATATTATTAAAAATTCATATTTCATAAAATAAAGAAATACATTCATATTTTTATTCACCAAATATACAAAAGAAAATATTTTTTTCTCTTACAAAATACAAAGAAAAATGAATACTATTGTTGCTATTCTGATAGAATGAATAGAAATAGAGCAAGTTGAACCTTCTCCAACAAAATATAACTCAAAAGGAATCCAGAAGAGGAAAAAGCTGTGTGTGAAGCAGCCAAGACAAAAAAACACACTGAAACATGACAGAAAAAGGTAATTCCATTTTTGTGCTCTAAGTTTAATACAGATTAATGTCTCCATGCTTTACACGCATACATCTTATGCCTTCTTGATTTTTTTTCTGTTATCTGTTTAAAATGTAGAATAGGATAAAATGCCTCTTGGTGTGAACTGGCATCAATGAAGTAAAATTCTGTCCAGGACATGCATGTAATTTTCTTTTATTATTATTATTATTTCATTTTATGACACAGTTCCATAGGCTCTGGGATTCCCCCAACCCCTCCCCCCATATTGATTTTCTCCATATTATTACAGTAGTACAGTTCATAACCAGTCATAATTCCTTCATTGTGGGCATGGACCATGCAGAAAGTCCAGCATGTTATTGCCCAGACAAATTCAACAGTTTCATTGGGAGGCCATCCTTGATCTGAAAGCAGAGCTGGCACAATATCATCCCCTCCAATGAAGAGCCACAACACAAACTCAGCAACAGGAAGAAACATCTAAATTTACATCATCACTGCATGTAATTTTCTTTTCTGAATTATAACGGCAGCTTTCAAAACCAACCAACAAATAAACAACAACAAAACCCTCCATAGTATCAAAGCCAGAGATGAAACTGCAATTTTTTTCTATTCTTCTACAGCCAAATCATCCTTATAGTCCCTACTTTCTAATACATGCCAGCAACTTCTGCTTACCTAATAAAAGATTTGGTTGGATGAAATTCATTGACAATAGGGTCTTCCCGGTAACTGAAACTACTTGTCTCTCGGTTGGCTAGGTCTATTTTCAATTTAACAGGAAACTCAGTTGAGATGCTTTGGGCTGGGGTATAACACTCCAGAACACTGTATGAAATGCTAGACAAACAAAAATTCAAAAAAGGGACTTTAGTCATTAGAAATATACATATTTTAGAAATACATTCACAAATCAAAATCAAAACTGTAACTCAACAGCTACTAAACAGGAATTTCCTGACGTGATCCACAAGTAATTCGTGTCTATTAGGTCCTATTGCCATTGGTTTGGGTCCTAAACTTAGCCTTACTGTAGACAAAAGACATGTTTCATTTTAAACAATCCTGAAAGTATTTTGATACTTGAGTAAACTGAGCAGAAACATGACTTTGCAAACCCAACATTCCCTATTTCTTCCCTCCCCAAAATAACACTAATTATAAATATTTTTTTTGAAAGATCAATTTTATTTATTTGAAAGGCAGAGTGACACAGAGAGAGAGAGACAGAGACATCTCCCATCTGCTAGTTCATTCCCCAAATGGTCACAAGGACCAGGGCTGGGCCGGGCTGTACCCAGGAGACGGAGCTTTCACTTGGCTCTGCCACCAGGGGGCAGGACTCCAACAACTTGGGTCATCATCTGCTGCCTCCCAGGTGCATTAGTAAGGACTTGAACCGTAAGCGCAGCAGTCAGGATTCAAACCAGTGCTCTGAGAAGCACGCTGGTGTCGCAGGCCGTGGTATCACAACAGAGACCCCCTCATTATAAACCGCTATCGAGACGGTTAACTCACCAGCAACCCATACCTCAGAGTATGAGCTCAGGTACTAAGATGCAATAAGCAGAGGCATGGCAAGATTGAAATGCAAGATAAATAGATAATAAAGGAAGGGAAGGAAAATAGCAAAAGGAAGTAGGTAGATTTTGGAAGCAGGCAATTTTGTCAGGATAATTAATAAACATATTTAGTTTTTTTTCCCACAAAGAAAACAATCAGCTTTTGTTTTTTTTTTTTCTTAATATAATTAGGCATATGTATTAACTGGATGAATGCAATAATAAATAAATTCACAAAACCTTTTTAAAGTACATGTTTTTCCACCAATTGAAATGTGTCTAGAATTCCCACTGTCTAAGTATTTTCCAGTTAAAGTAAGTAGTGTGCCACCAGCCTTGGGACCATAATTTGGAGAAATACTTGTTATTACAGGATCCTGAATGGGAGATAAAAACAAGAGAAATCAATTTGTTAATTTCTATAATCCAAAACAGATGAAGCAAAGCCAAACAAACAAACAAACATCTAGTTTGTGAGAAAAATAACGTTGAGACTTACCACGTAGGAAAATGCACTATATTGTGTTCGCCCTCGACTGTTCGAAACAGTTATGGACATATTGAAATGCTCATGCGTGGTAGGGCCAACTGTGCATTTCAACCTGAAACAAACCAGAGTATGTTACAGATCCTTCTGTGAAGGAGCATTCACTTTAAACGGTGAGCTACGACTCTGCATAGCAAGCAGAGGCTCATGGCAATCCACTCGGGCCAGAAACCATACAAATCTATTTCCGAATGATTGTGCTAAACTCTACATTCATTGAAAGATAGCATTTGCGCAGACAAAACAGGAAATGTTGGAATTCATCACTGTAGATCTTACTGATAAAAAGTGCCTAATAATCTAAATTTAAGACGCTCATAGTTTAGGGATAATGGTAAACACATTTAAAGGAAGGAATGGGGTACTGATATAGTCTGATAGCAAGAATCAGATCCCACCCCTCCCTCTCTGTAAATGTAGAAAAATAGAAAAAAAAAAAAACTGGAACATTGTCTCACCTTCCTTCCCCAGTACCTTGACCCTCCCCACCTTAACTGGAGGCCCTCATGGGTGTGCATATCTCTCAACTATATAAATAACATTAAAAATAAAGTAAAAAATAAAAAAACACAAGGAAATGCATTTCAGTAGCTTCAGAAACAAAGCTGGTTGTACAAAACCCAAATTTCATCATTAAAACATGTCTACAGGTTTATTTTGGGGACTAGAGTAGCTGTATGCTTAAATAATTCGAGACTAATAGAACTGTGATAGGCTTTCCATAGAAATATATTTAAGTCAGCAATCTTGTAGATCTGAAAAAATTTAAATATAATTTGTTACAATAAATACCTCTGTAAAGATGAGAATAAATTGCTTCATTTTACAATTCCTAATTTATACGATAATGATTAAGCGTTTGGAGAACTTGTGGGGAGACTACTAGAATGAATTTGTTTTGTCTTATTAAGGATGACATGAATTGATGCTTCAGCATCAGGCAAATAAATAGTATTAGACGTTTGTATAATCCTGGAACAAATCCTAAAAGATATATAAGGTCACCACTTGATGGAAAAAGCTTGACCATAAAGATTCAGCTCATGGAACTATCAGTGTCTCGCGGTTCCTACTGCATAACGAGTAGTTCCTGAATTCTCTGCTCACTATGGAGTTCACAGCTTACAGAAAGCACACGAGCAATTTGGTGCAAGAAGCACAGGTGTTGGATTAGAAGAGCTGTATTCAAAGGTCTGTTCAACTCTGACTCTGAAGTATTTCTCTCCTAAGCCATGTTCCATCTCTCTAAACTTCAGGTACCTAATTATAAAATAAGAAAGTTATTGGTAGCTTGCGCCTGGCTGGATGAGATAAAATCCATCCAATAAATATTAGCGGAATGTAAACTTATGCCCAGAGGGCTTCTGACACCTGTGTGAGTTACCAGATGAGATTTCTGAGGTTTAGAAAATGAATTTAGAAGACAGAAGTGATCCTGGACTCTTCTGAACGAATTTAGAAAAAGCTAAAGAGACTTCATATAAACAGAGTGCACCTCTCCCACAATCTGTGTTACTCTTTTGGGCAATTTCTGCATAGTTGTTAGAGAAATGAGTGAAAATTTCCCAGGTGCTGGATACTTCTTTTCTTCACCAAGGCTGTGTCAGTTTGCCATTGCAATAATTCCACCAGATAAACAACAAGAAAGCCAGGTGAGACAAGGCCACGGGAGATGTGACAGGTGAAGGCTGTTCTCCATGCAAGATAGGGGCTTCTGGAACAACTTTTCCCAAGTATCCATTCAAAGCTAAAGGCTGTTTTCCAAACAGAACCCAGCAAAGCACTTGGAAGCCCTTACGTGTTTGTCGTACTCTCACTTAAGGTCAAGGTGCAGCTGTCATTTCCAAGAAAGACTTTGGTTTTCTTTAAATCAAATTTATTATTCCTCCTGAACCCAAAGTCCCAGCCGCAGATGGTCAACGTTGTCCCTCCCTCGAGGGGTGCACTGGTTGGGAAGACCTGTAAGGAAAACGCAAAATGAGAAAAAAAAACCACTATGTTATTATTTTTCTTTGGAGTAGAAAACACAGAAAGAGCATCATCCTTACATGCCTGGGGTTGCCTCATTCTTCCACAACCAGCAGAACGTGAATTTTCACGACAGGAGAAAGGCTGCGCATTTCAGAGCACGTGGAGAAGCCTGACACGCTGCTGGAACAAATTGTTTTCAGGAGACACAGAGATGGGGCAGAAAGCAGGACTCAGCTGGGGTGGGAAGGAGGGGCCTTGGTGGGGCTGCTTGGAAGATTCTAGTGATCTCTGGAGCAGTAGTCACATCAGACTCTCACTTGCTTATAAATCTAACTCTTGCATGGGCTTCCTGATAAATCTCTGACCAAAACTCCTTCAATGGGTATGTGGCCTACAAGTTACGATGCAAACATCCCACCCGGGAGAACCTCAGCGCAATTCCCTGTTCTGGCTCCTGATTCCAGCTTCCTGCTAATGCAGACGCTAGGAGCCACGAGGTGATAGCTCAAGTGATAGAGTTTCTGACACCCATATAAGAAACCTGGAACGAGGTCCCAAATGCTGGCTCTGCTGTTTGCAGGCATTTGGGAGGTGAACCAGCAGATGGGCGCTCTTTCTGTGTCTGCCTGATGCCCTCACCTTGCTTTCCTCTGCCTCTCAAAACAAACAAACAAATCCCAAACTCCTTCACATATCTATAAGCCAAAGCGCAATAAATACCTTGATGTTGTATATGCTACTCTTTTCTTTTTTAAAGAAATACTGTGGTATTTCTTACCAGACAACAAGTCAGATGGTAAAAATACCTCTCTTAGTACTCGGCTGCATTCAGCAGCTAGCGCAAGGCCAAACGCACAGATGGTATTCAATACATATCTGCCAATCATTCATTCATTATTTATAAATCACCTTCCATGTGCCAGGTACTGACAAATACACAGAATAGTCTGCTTCTTTATGCCTGTTCCAAATTTATTTCTAAGAGAGAGAGAGAGAGAGAGAGAGAGAAATACTGTGGACGACAAAGAAATCCTAACTATTGGTGTAATCGCCGAATGCTTTAAGTCTTGAGGCCAAAGCCAGGAAGCAGGCTGGGAACTCAGTCCAGGTGTCCCACAAGGGTGACAGGGAGTCAACCACTTGAGTCCATGCTGCTACCCTTGAGAGGTCACATGAGCAGGAAGCTGGAGCCACAGACTGCACCGGGGTACCCCGCTGTGGGAGGTCAGCATCCCAACCAGCACCCATCCTGGCATCCCAACCAGCACGTAAGCCACCAGGTCAAATGAGTTCCCATTCTACCTCTTAAGTCACACATATTATTGAAAGAAACCATTTTAATTGTTTAAATACAGTCACTGATGTATGCATACCAGCTGGTGAGTTGATATCTACAGCCTAAAAATTGACATTTTGCACATAGGTTTTTATTACTAATAGAAATGGACAAAAAGGGGAATCAGAGAGAGGCCCAAGTCAGTATTGTATTGGTTTTTTCTAATTATTTCCATTAACATTATTTTACATCTAATTTTCAAGATTGGTCTCCCAAGTTCTCAGGTTCAATGGTAAATAAATAACAGATCAAATTTAACTATTGTAGGCTTCCTTCTGATGTGGTAAAAGTAAAATTGGAATTTATTGAGGAAAAAAACCTCTGGTAACCACAACATAAGACAGCATGAGACACTTATAACCTGTAAGACAGCTCACCATCTGTAGGGTAAAATGATGAATACAAAAACATATTTGCAAGTTAAAAATAAGCTTACCCCCAGCAACAGCTTTGTGACAATTGGAAAAGGAAATGCTCTTTAGGAGGGTCATATTGTAAATTGTGCTTTAAAGTACAATGGTGGGAAAAGTCGGCACCAAGATTTGAGGCAGCTCAGAAACCAATAAAGGTATTTGCTAAAGTTTGTGAAGTCTAAAAGTGACTCTTGTACAAATTAAGAAGGGCTTTTAACCAAATTCAAAGTTGCAAACATGCCCATCTTTCCTAAGTAAATAATCTCAAACCAATGTCTTAACTTACCCTTGTTACCAACCCCCTTTAAAGTCTTAGCTTAATGCTTTTATGATAGCCATTTTACCCATAAAATCCATTACACAGTGTGCCTTTCATGAAAATTTACCTCATCCATGTCTAGTCAAATGAGAACGGCAAGGGGGTAAAAAAAAATCCGTTTATTATTATGTTAGAAATCCAGTAGGAGAGAGCAAGCCAGCCAGTCCTTGCAGGACTCTGTGCAGTCGGAGGCAGTCACACAGCCCCTATTCCCTCTGCTGCTATGGGGGCCCCCTCATCGAAAACAGCTGCCCAAGGCTGATGATGGCCTGATCCCAGTGCCTTTCCATGGAAAAGCTGAAGTCTGCCACTCAAAGCACGCCACAGCTTGGCACAGGGATTGAGTGATGATCTAAGAAGGGCACCAGGGATTGTTCAGTTGGTGCCCTGGTGAGAGAAATGGGCATTCTAAGGCCTCTGGGAGACTCTCAGGCTAGAAAGGCCAGCTCTGCTCGGCGCTGTCTCCTGGGCTGAGTCGAGCACTCCCCTCTTGGCTTAGGGGATAACCTTCACTCTTCCAGGAGGAAAGGAAGGAAGCAGTTGTGGACTACACACCCTTGGGCAGACACAACAATGGGCTGGCAAACTCGGAGTGATCCTGAAGGACAGAGGGTCGCTGAGGGCAGGAAATGAGTGTCTTAGCATAAAGCCTGATAGTTGGAGGGCTCCCACCTGCCTGCGTGGGGAAGACAAGAGCCTATAGTAGCTGTCTGTAGTGAAAGATCACTTAATGATGAGTCATTCCATAGCATTCTATTTAAAAACTTACTTTTCTTTGAAATAGAGAGAGAGAGGAGAGAAAGAAAGTAAGGATGAGAGACACATATTTTCCATTCACTGGTTTACCCTGCAAATGCCAACACTGTGCTCAGCCAGGCTGAAGTTGGAGCCCAGAACTCAGGAGAGGTAGCCAACGTGGGTGGCAGGACCCAAGTCCTTGAGACATCATGTGCTGCCTTACAAGGCATGCAGGAGCAAGAAGCTGGACTTGGAAGTGGAGCTGGGCTTGAACCTAGAGTGGCATCTTAAACGCCTACCACACAACTGTGTTTTGTTTTCAAAAACCCTTTGAGATAAAGCATAAGGAAACTAAGCCTTCCCTCCCCTAGATCAAAATTATTTGAAAATTAAAATTCCTAGATTGGGCTCCTTTTCTTTCAAATAGGAAAAATAGTCACAAGTGCTCTGAAAGCAGTGAATTGCCTGACCATCCTCCTGTCCCCTGCCACCCAGACACTGCTGCTGCTTCTTAGCGAGCCTTCTGATCAGTTAATAAAGTTTTATTGTCTCAATGGGACTGAATTCAATCCTACAAGACATTACCCTAACAGATTCAGAAAGCACTGCAAAGTGCTCTTCCTTTTCCAAAGCAATTCTCATTGCTTTTTAAGCATGAGCTCAGATGACAGGTCTGAAATAAAAGAATGGACTTCCAACCCTGAAATCTCTCCTATGTGGAACTGAAAAGGAGCCTGGTCTCTGTACCTTGAAAAGCAGGTTACCTTACACGTATTGGAAGGTGAAACTCTATACATCAGTTGGACTTTGTGCAAGTAGCATTTAAGACAGATAAGAAAAAGATGAATAATTGGTCTAATTTTTTGCAGTAAGAATGCTAAATGTCACGGTCCAGTGTAGCATGAAATCTTCCTAACATCTATGAACTGAGAGGGATTTATGGACTCAGCTGCACCATTCTCCTTTAGCCCTACAACCAAACCCTGGCCGACATCTGCATCATACAATGCAAACTTTGAAAATCTCCAACTACAGAGTGCTGGGGCTTGAGGAAGTGAGAAAGGAGGGTAACCCAAACATTAAAACAAACTTTCTGGTTCCAGAAAATTCTAAAAGACTTGCTCAACAATTTAATGTAGCTTTCCTGATTAGTAAAAGGAAGCACCCTGGTCCAAGGTATATGTTTCATTTACACAGGCTTTCAACGTGATTTCTTTATTTGCAGCACCATCCTAGCTATTCAAACAAGGAGCGTATGTGATTGAGTTATGCCTCTTCCACATACATTCTCCATATTGCACTCAGAGAGTAGCTGAGTTTACATTTCCAGTATCAGCCATTTTCCAGGTTGTGTGTTCAGGAAAATATGCCATCATTTCTGACGTTAAGATAGACTGAAGAACAAAAATGTGCATCACTACTGTAGTAAGGAATTAAATTTATTTTCTTATTCTCTGGCTGATCAAGCTAAGGCACTGTGTCACACCTCACAGGAAAGGATTTGGTTTAAAACCCAGTCACCCACTACAAATCCTGCCCCCCACCGTAACTAAATGAAAACAGCCAAGCGCTTGGGGGTGGTTCCTGAGTTGCCTTGCACACTTTGTTTACTTGGGCATGAACCAGGACACTGAGACCTTTAACTTAACTCTTTCACAGGAATCACTTACTAAAGTCCACCAACTGTTTTCACATTCAGGAAGAGAAAACACATATGGGGTCCTTAGTGAGAAGAGTTTGAAGTAAAATACATTTGAATCAAGAATTCAAAAATTTTTAAAAATTGCCATGGAGACAGTCCTACTGCCAAATACACAAGGGTACTTCAATACATTCATGGAAAACAGAGTTAAAAGAAGTTTAATTTATTGCAAAAGAAAAAAAATCTTTGAAATTCATGCATAGCCAAGGTCTTCAAAAAGTTTGTGAAAAAAATGAGCATTACAGAAACAATTTGCATGGATTTCAAGATTTCCTTTTTGTATCAAGATAGATTTGTCTTTTCATTTCATTTTTTTTCAATGAACATCTTGAAGTAAGTATGCTTACCAGAATAAGATAACCTGGTTAGAGAGTGTGGTTTCAATGTCATGGTTAATGTCCACCGGCAGAAGCCAAGCTCTCCAACCGAGGGAGACCAGTCTGAGTTGTACAGAATGTATCTCCCCATTGCCTAGAATGATGCCCGCTACATGGCATACACTCAATAAATATTTCTGGAATGAATTTAAGAATGGAAGGATAGCTGTCCAGTTACCACTTGTGTCTTCATTTCTTTTCTAGGAACACTGAGCTCGCTGTGGGGGCTGTCCCTCCCTCTGTACCCTAATCCACTCTGTGAAAGAACTTCTGGTCTCACCTGTGCTGACACCAGGCCCATGCCCTGTGTCTCAGATAGGAAGAAACCCTCTGCCCTGTCTATTTCAATGTGGCTGGACTTTTGGTTCGAGTGCTCCAGGGCAAGCCAAGAGCACATCTGTTTCTGTGGCCTGAGCTGTCTGGGCACTTGGTACATAAAGCAGGTGGTGAGGAATCAGAGAACGGGTGAGTGAGGACAGATCAGTCACTGCTCCTTGTCCACCACTCTTGTCTCACACAGCACCTTGGGAGGGCAGCTGCCCAGGGTAAGCTTCAGATGCAGGCACACCAGGTGCCACCCATGGAATAAAACCAGGAAGGAAAGATTGCTTTGGCTGGTGTCTCACTGATAAATGAGTAGATGGAATTTGGGATTTAAAAAAAAAGATTTATTGATTTTTACTTGAAAGGAAGATTCACGGAGAGAAGGAAGGAGAGAAAGAGAGTGAGAGAGAGAGAGAGAGAGAGAGAGAGAGAGAGATTTTCCATCCACTGGTTCACTCCCCCAGTGGCTGCAATGGCAGCAGCTGACCAGGAGTCAAGAGCCTCATCCAGGTCTTCCTTGTAGGTATCCAGGGCTTGGGTCATCCTCCACTGCATTCCCAGACAACAAGTAGAGAGTTGGGACATGAGATGCTGCCTATATAGGATGTAGGCACTTGCGGATGGAGGATTAGCCAGAGCCACTGCACTGGTCCCAGATTTTGGGACATTTAAAAAAAAGATTTATTAATTTGAAAGGAAGTTATCTGAAGAGAGTTGGGAGGGGGGAGAGAAAGAGAGAGAGATATTTTCTATCTCCTGTATTGCTCTGCCAAATGGCCAGAACTCCATCTGAGTTTTCTAGATGAGTGGTTGGGGCTCAAGCACTTGGACCCTTCTTGCTATCTTCTCAGGTGCATTGGCAGGAAGTACAGCATTGGGTGCACTGGGTGGGAAGTACAGCAGATGAAAACTGGGTACTCCAATATTGGATGCCAGCTTTGTAGTGGTGGCAGCTTAACTTGCTGTACCCTAATAATGAAATGTCTCTTTTTGATCATACTCATGTTTGCAAAAAAAAAAAAAAAAAAAACCATGATAGGTAAGAGATTCCTACCTCGTAGACGGCGGGAAGACAGATCTCTTGAGTCCATGTTCCCCTGGGGCACGCCTCTGCTGGCACACATCTGTCATGGCACCAGCCGCACTGCACAAAGGGAGGGGCAGAGAGGCACTGACTACACGAATGGAAATGTGCACAGCCTAGCCCATTCAACGGGATCTTGGTAATCTGTGAAGAGAAAGGATAGGGTGGTGGTTAGCCTAGCAGTTCAAACACCTGACACATGGCTGTCTTTGGTTCCTGGCTCCAGTTCTGGAATCCAGCTTTCTGCTCAAGCGGATCCTGGAAGGCAGCAGGTGATGGATCAAGTTCACTGGGTCCCTGCCACCATGTAGGAGGTCTGGACTGGTTTCCTGGCTCTTGGCTTCAGCCCCAGTCCAATATTGGTTGTTGAAAAAGAGTTTGGGAGTGATATAGCAGATGTAAGCTGTCTCTAGGTCTGTCTATCTAACCCTTCGCTTCTCAAAAAGATATTAGTGGTCAAGTACTATTTATTTAAAACAAACCAAAAGCAACAGGGATTAGAAAGAATTTCCTGAGGGATTTTTGGTTTGTTTGTCATGTAAAAAGTGAATTCACTGAAGTTATATATTTAACTATATCTTTCTATAGAGCTGTATGTGTCTTCTGTGAAATACACACACACATACACACACACACACATATATATATAATATAAAATTTGATGGAATCTACCAGGGATAGTAATTATGTAAGTCACATAATCAGTATTAAGCAATTAAAATATTGAAAAATCAAATTTGTTCCTTCCCTTTATTGTTGGCACATATATAACACAATTACAAATTACTGTACAGAGAATACAAACTTTGTCATATAATGTTGCAGACTGTGCATAGTAGAGATTTTTTTTTTCCTGTCTGAGATGATTTTAAAATAACGCGAGAATGTGGTTTAAGCAATGGGAAAACATATTTGAACCTCTGGAAAATTCTAAGGAAGGTCACATAACGTTCTAGCAACAAGATGCACATCTTTCAGAGAAAAAGGATTCCTGGCTGATGTCAGATTTCAATTTGCATTTCCAAAATTTATCTGCCTGCATTAGAGTTCTGCCATGAGCACTGTATTTCTCATTTGTGTTTAAGAAAAACTTGTTTTTCTTATTGAGAAATACAGGACAAAAGGAGAAGCACACACTGTAAAAAGACATCCTTTTGGGCCAATTTCCCTTGACTAAGAATACTAGCTTGATTCGGGAGATCTCTGGAAGACTCAAGAAAGAACTCCCAGGAGGAGCAGTGGGTCTAAGACAAAGAGAGACAGTCCGAAGGCCTCCATGACACCTGTTGTAAAAAGCTCACTCGGGAAGAAGCAGGTCCATGGAGACTCCCAAGGGAGCAAGGCTCACCTTGTTCCCCGTGATCACCAGTGTGTAGCCATTCTGGTTTAATGGGTGTTCCACAACCACTTCTGGAGACACAGGGTGGGAATCCAGGCGAAAATTCACATAAGGGTCATACGACATTGTTCGAGAAATCACAACCTGAGGGAGGAAAAAAAAAGAGAGAGAGAAAAACACCCAGTTTCCAACAAGCTCTGTTTAAATGTGCATGTGAAATGTGGATGATAATGGAAATAACAGATTAGGAAAGTTCAAGGGTGCTTGCACTGAAGACCTGACAGTTCATCTTGTAAATCAATATGACATGCTCTAATCTGCTGCCTTGGGGACCATTTATTTGAGCCCCCAACATAAACTCTTGCCTATGATCTTTTAATGGTTTCTAGGGAAGGAGACCTTCTAATCAATCAGCTAGCTCAGGCAGACAAATCCTCACAACTGTACAGGGAAGTGGCAGGGCTGAAGCTCTCCCCCAGAAAGAAGATACCACCTATGGCACAAGGATCCTGGATCACTTTCTAATCCGGCCCCTTGATCCTACCCACTGGGCAGTTCTCCTTGATGTCGCAGTGAGAAGACTGGACGGGAGCCTGGAAACCTGAGCTAGTTCAGCAGTGCTGCTCTCAAGCCGTATTTATAGACCTTGCGAGGTCAAAAGAGGTCTCCGGCTACTCTGAAATGATGGACTGTAGTTTTTCTAAGACACTGTCTTGTGCTGTTATTAATCACATGATGAAAGTTGCACTTCTTGTCTTGGCTTTAAAATAAAGCCTGATCATTTTAATGCATGGGAAATGAGGTTGGACTATAGAGTCCCTGTTGCTTTCAGGTATGTCTCATTTGGAGTGTTGCCCAGCTATATAATTTCCATCTTCCCACTTCCTAGAACTCAATAATAAGCTCAGAGATGACAATCACCAATTAGCATATAGTCAGCATGATTAACTTAGATAAACACAGACGCAAAGGGGGTTTGGGAGTTCTCAGACTTTCATTCCTAGGTAGGATTTTAGGCTGTATATTCAAGCACAGGAGGAGGACATAATGGGCTGAGCACAGCTCTGGGCTGGAAGTCTACACCAGGGAGCTGTCTGGCACCTCTCCCCCTGTTAGATTGCATTGGAAGTTTACTTAATTGCCACGAGTATGAAACCATGGGACAAACATGGGCATCTGTGAGATTAGGATTATTTAAACAGTCATTCTTTGTGCCTCAACTATATTCCTAGAATTGGAATGAAAATTACAGGAGGAGCTGCTTTGTATTCTTCATAAAAACATACAACATATAAATGTTCCAGGGAATAGCAGTAAATTTTTTTCCTGAGCAGAATAAAGGAGCCAAGTAGCCTGAAATAATTTAGGAACATTTCCAAAGTACCCAATTTGTTCCTAGGGAGTGGATTGTTGATAGAGAGACTAAGCTCACAGAGCTGTAAAAGTTAACTATCATGACATTTCTGGTCTAGAGTTTGTTCTACCCCAAACTTTCAGCACTTCCATAACACGTCGCTCAAGCAGGGTGGCTGCGTGTGCACGGACATTCAATCACTTGGTCAGGACGGGGATGGACAGAATTAACTTTCAGGGCCTAGGAGATACGCACAACCTTTGCAGGCAAAATGGAAAGAAGTTCAGTTACTAGTCCTGCCTACCTCAGGGTGCTAGCTGCTGGCAAAACGTCATGCGTTAGGCTCCGCAGCCTCCCTCTCAAGCTGCCCAAATTTCATGAATCCAGTTTTGCAGTCTTAACCCCTCTCACTTTTTTCTGCTCTCTTCCATCTTCCCCCTCCTTACGCTTATATTTTTTGGTCACTGCCAGTCACTTCAAACTGTCAAGGTGGTAAAAAAAAAAGTATCCTTCTCTCACTCACAAGTCAAAACGATAGGAACCCAGCCTGGCTTAATAATCCTACTCTTTCTGCATCACATTCTGAGCTTCTATCTCACGGAAGGATTTATCGCTAGGCACCTTCCACTGGAAGCTTGCATGTTGGGTCTATCTCAGTGGTTTCTCCTGCTCTGCTCAGACTTACTACAGAACAACCACCACTCAGGCCCTTCCCTGAATCTCTACCACACATTCCCCTTTTTTTTTTTTAAGATTTTTAAATTTTTATTGAAAGTTAGATATACAGAGAGGAGGAGAGACAGAGAGGAAGGTCTTCCGTCTGATGATTCACTCCCCAAGTGACCGCAATGGTTGGTGCTATGCCTATCCGAAGCCGGGAGCCAGGAACTTCCTCCAGGTCTCCCACACAGGTTCAGGGTCCCAAGGCTTTGGGCCATCCTCGACTGCTTTCCCAGGCCACAAGCAGGGAGCTGGATGGGAAGTGGAGCTGCCAGGATTTAAAACTGGAGCCCATGTGGGATCCTGGAGCCTTCAAGGTGAGGACATTAGCCGCTAGGCCATGGCACTGGGCCCCACATTCCCTTGTTAATGGCCAGTCATCTTTGACTTTTTCAACTATCTGTATCCCATCCAAATACACATTTACAGGAAAGGATTGACCTTTCTTTCTCCCCTGCTAATCCCCCAGAGAAGCTCTTTGCACCTATCAACTTGGGTTCATTGACCTTTGTTAAGACTTTGTCTGAAAGGCATTGGAACTTTCTTAACAGCTTCTACCTGAGTCAGGGACCAGCTAACTACTTAATATAGATTTCATTGAAGCCTCACATTAACCTGCCAAGAGAGGTACTAAGACTTTTCTGTACTGAAAACATGACAGAGAGTTTTAGTGAGACAGCACAACAGCTGGATTTCTAAGGAGCTTTATCTCACACCAGAATCTGCATGCTTGACCTCTCCTTAAATATTCATTGCTGGATGCTTGGAGCACCAGAGTAAATACCAATAAAGAGCTTCAACTCGTGAGTCAGCGCACTAAAACAAATTTCACAATGTGTTTGCCTTGTCAATTACTCCATGTTTCAGTGCCTACGGAGGAAGCCTTTGCTTTGGCTTTGATGGCAAAGAGGAAATGTCATACTAGCACAGCTCCTGAAGCTCCTCTTTTGCTGCCTTCTTTTGAAAGAATTTTATTCTTGTTTTTTTTTTTTTTTTAATTTATTTGAAAGGCAGAGGAAAAGAGGAAAAATCTACCATCTGCTAGTCAATTCCCTCAATGCTCATAGTGGCCTCAGTGGGGCCATGTGGGTGGCAGGCCCCCAACTTCTTGAGCTGTCAACTGCTACGTCCCAGGGTGCTTATCAACAGCAAGCTGGAATGAGGAGTGATGGTGGGCCTTGAAAGCAGACACTCTGAACCCAGGTTAACTGCTGCATCAAACTTGCACCCCTGAAACTCTACTAGAGTTGTGCTACTGCTACTACTGCTAACGCTACTACTACCACTGCTTTTACTTGAAAGGCAGACAGAGAGGGAAACAGATATTCCATCCATTAGATCACAACCCCAAATGGCTCCAACAGTTGGGGTGGGCCAGGTTGAAATCAGAGACCAAGAACTCCATCAGGGTCTCTCCCACAGGGGTGACAGGGGCCCAGACACTTGGGCTATCCTCTGTTGCTTTCCCAGGCACAGCGGCAGGGAGGTGGATTAACAACGGGGCACTTGGGAATCAAACCGGCACTCTGGCATGTGATGCCAGTGTTGAACTCATAGTGCCCCACAATGCCGGCCCCAAGCTCTACTCCTGACCGTCAGCTAGGCAAAGTGCTACTTGGTGGAACAAGAGAAAGCAGGAAAGTCTGCACGGGAAGGGAGAATGATCCTTTGGATTCTGAGCAGAGCTTCACCCAGAGGCAAATATGGTTTTAGTAGATCATTGCCCTGTTCCCTGCAGAACTACTGACTGCTGTAAAATGGCAAGAATGATGTCCCATTGTTAATTTCTTGCTTTCTCTTATTGCTGAGATTCTAAATAATTGAGTAACCACTTTAACTCAAAATACCCTGAAGCAATGTTTACAAGAAATTAAGAGTTCCTTTTGGTTGCCATGGCTATGATTCTAGGAACAGAACTGAATATGGCATCTAAATTTAATTCTTACGATAGATCACCTGGCAATTCCAGAACGATTAGTACAAAACAGAAGACTAGACATTCTTTTTGGAGTTTTCATTGCGTCAACAAGTAGCAACCTTAGGCATTTTGGTCACAAAATCTTTTTTTTAATGTTTTTGAAAATACAAGATTAATACATTTTGGAGAAGGAAAGGAATCTAAAATTCTTGCGGTTATGATCTCATATAACCTTCCTCAGCGAGTTATCTGGGGGAGCTCATAGGGAAGAAATGTGTGCATAAATATAATAAAGCCACCATGGCTGGGCTCCCACATTTGTAAACCTAAGCAAAACTAATTTTGTGTCAGAGTCTACAAATGCAGATGAAAAGATCTCTCACTTTTTCCCTTTAGGTCTCTCACTCTCTCCCACTCAATTAAATGAACAATTTAAAAAATTTATTGGAAAAGCAGATTTGTAAAGAGAAGGAGACACAGAGAAAAAGATCTGCCACAGGTTTACTCCCCAGGTGGCCGCAATGGCTGAAGCTGAGCTGATCCAAAGCCAGGAGCCAGGAGCTTCTTCCGGGTCTCCCATGTGGATGCAGGCTCCCAAGGCTTTGGGCCGTCATTAACTGCTTTCCCAGGCCATAAGCAGAGAGCTGGATGGGAAGTGGAGCAATCAGCGCATGACTGGAGCCCAAATGGGATCACAGCACCTGTGAGGTGAGGATTTAGTCACAGAGCCATCATGTCAGGACCAAATGAATAATTAAAAAAAAAAAAATAGGGGTAGCTAGACAGCTGCCTATCTAACATACAAACATGTTAAATTATATAAGCTTATTTAGTTTAAATAAACTATAAAAATCCATGTGTGAGGGGAGGACAGCAGGCCTTTACAAATATCTACTCTCTTACAAAAAGCTTTATGTATTTATTATTGTTATTATTATTATTTTTTGAAAGGGCCACAACATTTAGGACTGCACCAGGCTAAAACCAGGAGTTTTCCTTAATCAAGTAAGAGGAAGGTTTGCCTTTGGAGGTCCATGGCTTCGGGTGCCCTCACCTTGTCCCAGTCTGCATTCTCAGATGGCCCCTGTTTGGTATCCTGGGTCTGATGAACATTCATTCCTTCATGGTCAGGATCCAAGAGGAGATGTGTGG